AGAGAGGCCCTAATCCCCCTTTCTCCCAAAGGATCCCCGCTCTGGAAGTGGGAAGGTTTCAGTTCTGCTGGTGTGGGTGTGAGAGGAGGGGAGGACCCTCTCAGCCCCCTCCACGGAGCTCTGTATCCCCAGATCTCACCAGGTTGCATTGTCACTGCTCCCCTCAGTCCCAGCTGGTTTTCCCTTTGCCAGCAGTAAATTGTCACTGGTTCCTTGGGAATGAACCCTGGGCATGGAGAGCTGGAGAGGGCCAGCAGCCAGCCCTGCCTCAGTGACAATCCCTTCACCCCATAACAGGGGGAACAGATGACAGGGGGATTGGCTTCTGCTCGATGCCCCCTCGATGTTCTCCCACCCCTTGGGCCAACAGCCTCTCTGCTTTCTCCATTATTTTAATCTCTCTGACCTGCAATATTTCGTGTGTAGCTTTGGTTTAACATCTTTCCACAGCAAAATCCCTTTTGGTAATGAGAGAGCAGGGCTGGTCCTTCTCGCTTTTTTTGAAAAAATTAAAAAAAAAAAAAAAAACAACCATTGGGAGGAAAAAAGAAAAGTTACATCCCAGCAAACTGTTCCCATTTCCATCCCATCGACAGAGGAAGCGCCTCCCACCTACACTCACGTTACTCTGCAGCCCAATGCAGAGCCATGCTCCTGTGTGCACTCCTTTCTCTCTCTCTTTCTCTCTCTCTCGTGTCTCACGCTCACTAAATCACATGCACATGGAGAGAAGGCTTTTAATAATTTAATGTTTCCAAGCTAAATTTTTAAATAGCCTTTTGTGGCCAGCTGGAAAATTGCGTTTGAAATTTTCGCCCTGTCGCCCGGGCCCCGAAATTTTGGGAACGTAAATCTGGATCTGATATTAATTCAGGGCTGGATCCTTTGCAGACAGCTTAGCTGGAATGGTTTGGGTTCTTTTTTTAAAAAAAAAAAAAAAAGAAAAAGAAAAGAAAAGCAGGAAAAAATGTGGGCATTTTTTATTATTCTTTTATTTATAAATTTCCTCTACTTTTCTGGCCACTCGGAAACTACCCAGGAGACAAAGGTTGTAACATGGTGTTGTCTCCACACCTGGATGAGTGGGCTCCAGGTATAGCCCTCTTTCTATCCCAGTTAGCCTGTGTGTACCTGGGCCTGCCTGAAACCAGCACTAACCAGCTGAGAGAGTGCAGAAAGCAGCGGGTACCAGCTCGGCCTGTGGTTTGGGTGTTTTTCATGCTGTTTAATTCCTTGTTTCTTGTGTGTTAATATCGTGGAAAGGTAACAAATTTCTGAAATGGATTTGCTTTGGTGGGAGGGAGAGTTCATGCACATTTTTCTTCCCGTTTTTTGTTTTAAAAGAGTCTCGAACACTCCTGTGTTTCCAATTGACTTGTTTCTCCCATAACATGCTTGTCTCTATAGACCACCTGGGATAGGAGTTGTAAGTTTGAACATTGCAAGGAAATGGTTTGGTTTGGTTTTGCTTTTCTTTTTCTTCTTCTAATTATTTCTTTTTTTTTCCTTATTCAGTCCCATGGTGGAGTCAGTGTGAGCAGGGCTGGGTGTGGGGCTGGTGGGAGCACGGGGCCGGGGGAGCGGAATTCCAGCCTGGGGGCTCCTCCGTGTCGGGTCTCCTGCCCGGCACAGGCTCCACTCCCCCTTCTCTAAGGAGCAGAAGGACTTAAAGAGGGGAGAATCCTTCTTGGGGTCAGCACCTCTGTGGGGGCTGATTCTGAGCCAGGATTGCTCCCAGCCTGACCTCCATATGGAGCTTGGTTGGTCTTAAAGGTACCCAGTGGGATGGGAGGGGGAGCGTTAGGAAGGCAGGAAAGAGGGTCGTTACTATCTTCATTTTTTTTCCTTTCCTTTTATTTTGGTTAAGAGAAAAAAAAAAAATCAATCAATTTGCAGCTGACAGCCTTGAGAAGGCCTTTTTTTACTCTCTCTGTGTTTCCCCTATTTTTCTCTTCTCCTCATGTCATTGTGTTCCGCATCAAACCCCCTTAACATCCCTCAGAGCTACGAGAAGGTTGGTGTGGTTTTTTTCTTTTTTACTTTCTTTACCCACATTTTTACATTCGTAAGAGAAAAAAAAAAATGAAAAAAAAATGAAAAAAAAATGAAAAAAATTTATAAAAAAAAAATGAAAAGAGAAAAAGCAAGAAATCTTTAAGATGAGCGAGACCCGCGCGTTCCCGGGTCTCGCGGAGATGAGTTGAGTTGCATTGTGGGCCTCTCTATGCATCCTTTGGTAATGTTGCTGAGTTCTTGCACTTTTTTGTCGTCATGGTTACCTTGCCGTTTGGACATTGGGCCTGATGCATGATAGGAGAATGTAACAAATCTTCTTTGCATGCCACTTTTTAAATTAATTCTGAATTATTTTTTTCGAGATATAAATATGTACAGTTTTTTGGTTTCTTTCCGTTATACGATTCTGGTTTCTTTGAAGTGAATTTACTTGTTACTTTCCAAATTTTTTTGGTTCTGTTGGGTTTTTTGCTTTTCTCTTGATTTCCTGTTTCTGTTTCGATTGGTTATGCTGTGCTGTAGTTTATTCCAAACGCATTGTGAGAAGCCAGTGTTCCTGCCCACCCGGTGGTAACTGAACTCCTCAACCCCTCCAGGAGGAAAGGAGTCACACAGCTCTAACGCCTGTCCATGGAAGCCCTGCTATTTGGGACAAGCCTTTGTTTTGGGGGGAGGGAGGGATCTGGGAAGTGGAAAAGATGGTGAGAACCCAGGGGGGTCGTTCCAGGAGTTAGGGCAGCCCCCGGGTCACGTTATTACTTACGTATCTCTCGAGGTGTGGCTCTTGTTCCACATCCTGCACACAAAGCCAAACCCTGATCCCTGCTCCGAAGGGCTTCCCCAGCAGTGCAGAGCTCGCTCACTGGGAACTGCCCATTTCCCTCCAGTACCACCAGGAGCTCACCTGCTCCCAGAAAGGTTCCTGCTGTTCCCAAAGCCCACGGTGTTGTCTCTCCTGGAGCACCCACGTGTGCATGGAGAGCCCCATGGCCAGGCAGTGCCCAGCTCCTCGGTGGAGCCTGGCAGAATTCCTTGGAGGAGGGTGACACCTCGTCCTGGCAGGGAAGGGCAGCCAGGCAGCTGCCTCCTGGCTCTGCTTCTCCGTATTTTCCCGCTCCCTTCCCTGTCATTTATCCATTACTGCCTGGTAAAGGCACCTTGAATCCCAGCCAGGTGCAGCAAAGGTAGAGCCCTCCTTCCCAAAGGAGCGTGGGGAGAGAGCTGCAGCTGTGGCAGCCCCTGGAATGGGCTGCTGGGGCACATCTGGCAGCTGCAGCTACTGCAAACAGCCACCAGGAATCTGACCAGTGACATTGGAGCTGAAAATGCCTCTTTTCCCTCTTCTCATCTCCCTGTTTATCCCCACGAAGCCCCTGTTGCCTCCCATGTGTGCGTCCTGGGCCACATGGGAGAGTGAACAGGGGGTTTGCAGTGTGTCAGTGGTACCCGTGGTGCTTGGTGCTTTCCCTGTGCAGAACTGAATGCCAGCCCTTTCCCTGGATATGCCTTTCCCTTTGCCCGTCAGTCCTCACCTCAACCAGCTACCAAAGGAGTGGCTTTCCTAGGGCACAGGTATTAAAGCTGTGTGATTTTTGAGAAATCCAGTGCAGTATTGACACAGTATCTGTCTCTCTCTTGCTCTATCTCTCTCTTTCTCTCTGTCTGTCCTTCTCTTTTTTCTTAAAATGCTGAGATTTCAGTGCTCGGACCCTCAGTGCTGGTATTCTCCCCTCCCCCTTTCAAGTCTCTCCCCCCTCCCCATAGGTACGAGGGTTCCACTCCGAAATGCTGCGCTCTTGGGAATGTCTTTGGGAAGAGACCAGCTGTGGCTCTTCTGACTTGGATGCCAACAATAGCCAAAAAACAGCCCCCAGCCCCAAGGCTCTATTTAAAGAAAAAAAAAAAGAAGAAGAAGAAAAAAAGGCTTGTTCTATATTTAAAAAAGAGAAAAAAAAAGAGAAAAGGAATAGTGTTCGAAATGAGGTTTTCCCATCCCACCTCCCTCCTGCCTAGGACTAAAAGGTGATAATCACTCCTAATTACAGGATTTTCCTTCATGACTAGGAGTTTAAGTTTCAGGATTTAGGTGCAATTAAAAAGGGATTTATACACCATTGTTTTTTATTTGTTTATTTTCTCTTTCCTAAAGTATTTCTAACGTGGCCAAACCGCGCTGCTGCTGGTAGAATCTCTTGTGATCTGAGAAGGTTTGAAGATTAAATTCTTCCTTAAAAGCCAATAAAAATAATATTAATGATATCAACAACAATAAACTCAAGCTAAATGGGACGTAGTCATGATAGGCTGGAATGACACTGGGTGAGGAAATAGAGACTTGGTACCTGGCTAGAAGAGCTTATGGTTTGCTAAAGTTACAGTCTCTGAGCAACCTGGTCTAGTGGAAGGTGCCCCTGCCTGTGGCAGGGGGTTGGAACAAGATGATCTTTAAGGTCCCTTCCAACCCAAACCATGGGCATGGTCTTGAAATTATTGGATAAGGATTTACCTTGTGTTTTATTATAGGTCAGATCATGCCATGGTCCAAAATAACAGAGAGTTTTCCAACAGGGAATATCCAAGGTCAAAGGCAGAAGTGTCTCTCTGGAGACCCACAAAAGCAGGTCAGAAACAGGTGAGGTGAACTCTGCCACCAGCCCAGGGTGTGTGGAAGGTTCTGGGCTGAGCCAGTTGTCCAGGTTTCACCTGTAGGCAGTGAGAAGAAGGGCACAGTTCTAGTGCAAGTCAGCACACCCTCAGGTGGGAATGCTGATTTCATGGGAGCCACACAACTCACCTGGCTTTCAAAAGTCTCCTCAGATGCTTCTGTGTATCCCTAGGGACACAAACCTCTGGCCCATGGTGATTGCAGGAAGGGATGGATTTGAAATCCTGCGACTCCAGAGCTGTCAGTCCGTGGTGGGGTTTGAGAGGCTCCTGCCTCTCCCTGCACAGCCGTGGCTGCCCCAGCCCTGGGAGTGTCCAAGGCCAGGTTGGAAGGTGTCCCTGCCCATGGCAGAGAGGTGGAACTGGATGATCTTTAAGGTCCCTTCCAACCCAAACTGCTCTGTGGTACCTGATGGTGTTTTGCCTGAGCCTCAGGGAGTCCCCACACGTGGAGCTCAGTTACCCCAGCGAGGACAAGGGTCTGCTCATCCAGGACCTGTGGCCATGGATGTTTTGCCCCCTGGAAACAGAGCCATTTGCAGGTCTCCTCTCAATTTGGAAAGCCTGACTGCCACCTCAATTGCTCTGTTTTGATCCCAACAAGCAGCTGCTTGGCTGGGGATGGAGCACTGTGTGTAAGGACCATGTGTCCCTGTGATCCTCCATATCCCAAAGGGAAGGAGGAATGAGCCATGTGGGCTGTGCTTTGGCATCCTCTGACTCTGCAGAGCTGCTGCTGCTGGTACAGGACGTGTTGTCATGGTTGAATTTACCAAAATTAAAATTTTTCCCCTTTTTCACGCAGCGGGACCCTGTCAGGAGATACAAAAGGCAGCAGTTGGGATGCTGCAGGGATAATCCTTTTTCCTCTCCACTCAGAGCTTCTTGTGGCTCTGCTCTTTTCCAGCCCAGGGAGCTGTAAATGGCTCAGCAGGAATTTAAACCAGCCCAGTGCTGCTGTGCCTGCTCAGGCCCTGCCTTTGCTGCTTGTCAGAGGCAGCTCAGTGCTTAGTCACCCCCAGTCAGGTTCTGCAGTCCAGGTCATGCTGAGAACATTCCCAGTTATTCTCAAGGCTCTCAGGAAAACCTCAGCTCACTGAGAGGCCAGAGATGAAACCAGGCCAGGGCTAAACACGTAGGAGCAGAACAAGTAGAAATCAAACGAAATAAACCCCATAGAAAATGCAGGAATAATGTGCTGAGCACCTCAGAATATAAACTTCAAAATAGATTAAAATGTGACTAATTTAAGCAATAATTTAGCCTCTAGCCTGGGTTAAGTTTGACTCATGTGTAATTTGACCATCAAACCAGAGCTGGTGCTTGGTTCCAAGTGGAACCAGTGCTGAGCTATTCCCTTTCAATGCCATTTAAAGGTTGAAGGAAATAATTCCACTTGCACTAAAGATTTAACAAATAGCCATGAGGGCAAAACAGTCATTGGTATTTTAAACTGTAGGCATTTTAAGACCTTTTTAGACTAGATTGATAAATTCTTGAATGGAAAAGGAGGGAGGCAGACCCACCACTGGGTTGTACAGCTGCCTCTGCAGTGCCCAGTTTCCAGGTGCTGGAATTTAGGGATGGAGAGTTCTGGGGTAGTTTTTCAGGGTTATTTTAGCATTTCCATGGGTGGGGGAGCGCCCTGTCCATGTTTGGGGTGTCCTCAGCTCTGAAATTCTAGTTCCAAACCAAACAAAGCAAACGAAAACTTCACTGTGTTTCTGCAGAAGGATTTCTCAAGGGTATCAGGAAATGGAAATGGATACAAAAAGCCACCCCCCCCCCAAAAAAAAAAACAACCAAAAAAATTCAAAACTGTGTATATATCTATGTATATACATGACTATCTCTCTATAGAGGGCACTTTGCAGGAACACTGTGCTGTACTGATCTCGAAATCTCTGCCTGCCTGTGTCTCTTACACCTTTTGCATCGCTGTTCTCTTTGTTTTAGGGGAAAAAATTAGATTACACCTTGTCAAATTAAAATAACAAAAACTAAAATAGTCGAGTCTGTGTTTAAAATTGCAGAGCTGCTTGAAAAACAATTGGATTTCGATGATTTTCTGTTTAATCCTGTAAAAAGCAACAGGAAAAAAAAAAAAAAAGACTTACAAAAGACCAGAGATGTTCAGCCAGCCTGTCACTCAGCTAATGTGGTTTTTTAAGTGAAAAGTAACAATTATTGGGAAGGTAATGGATTTCCTCCAGACCAAATCCAAGCCTTGGGCTCATTCTTTATTTATCTACCTGTTTACTCATTTATTTTTATTCACCGTGAAGGAAATGAGGAAGGAGATGGGCATGAGGAGGGAAGTGTCTCGTCCTGTGGAGGGACGGAGGTCGGAAATCCAAACCCAACAGCGTTTGGCCCCAGAGGAACGAACCTGGAATTGGAATGGGAGAGGGAGGAGGAGGCAGAGGCGGCTGCACGGACACGCAGGGGCAGGGACACACCACCTTTTGGGAGGGGAGGACAGGTGTAATCTAAGCTTCACTAATAATGTAGAGGCTGCACATTATTTTGGCACCCTTTCCCTACCCCCTCCTCATTTTGGAGCAAGACGGAATGACTCCTGTCTCACCAAAATGGCCAATAATGTCCGCCTTCTCACCTCATTTGGAGCAGCAGCTTGCTGAGTGTCAAAATGTTCAATACCATTTGGTTTTGTTTGGTGCTTTCAACCAGTCACTTCACTTTCTTTCGTTTCCTTTTCCCAATTAATTTCTTCTTTAAGGTACGAGACGTGTTTTCACTTTGAGTTGGTTTAATGTGAATCGGGGTTTGAAGTGACGGGTTCTTGTCCAGAACGTTTCTCCTTTTCCCCACCTCTCTCCTCCTCCAACATTGCTTCTCCCTGAGGGAATCTGGAAGGGGCTTAAAAAGTGCAACTGGTGGATTTCCTCAGCACAAACTGGTTGGTTGGTCCTCAGATTTCTCTCACTAGCAGCGTCCTGGGAACGCATTTTAAGGATGGATTCTGGTGTTGCAAATGTCAACCCTGGATCTCACAGTGTCTCTTCCGACCAGGTCTGTAAATCTGTCCCTTGCAAAAACACCTCTCACCTTGTGGACCTCTTCTTTAACAGAGTGGTGGTGGTGGGGAACCTTAGCCACGCTGATTGGGACCGAAAAAGCCAAAAATGCCACTCACACAACACAAACTGGGTTAACCTCTGCCTCCGTGAGCAGCAACAAAACCAATTGGCTTTCCAAGGGTGTGAAAAGTTATGGATCTGTTCTGTTTCTTAAAAAAGCCCGATTTGGGGTGCAGATTTGCAGTGTGAAATGCTTATCCAACAGCCAATTAAACAGACTCATAACTAACTGCACTTCAGAAATCTCCCTGTGCCTCAGAGGTGGCTCCTCTGCATCGAGATAATTCAACTTGCATCCCAAACGTCCAGCTCCTGTCTTGAAATCTGGTTCTATCAGTAACGAGCTGTATCCTTGTTTGAAAAAAGCTCCTGGGAGTTTTTTGGCCATGGAAAATGTCTGTTTGTGTGTGCCTGCTTGTGTGTGTGTCCGTCGGGAGCTGCTGCACATGGAGCATGAACGTCCGTGTCCGCATGCGAGGTCGGCTTCGTAACCCAGGTCTGACAAAGCTGTCCTGGAAACCAGAACATCCCTGGAACTCAGGGAAGGTGCTTCTTGTACCAGGAACTGGGAGAAGTGTTAGGGAAGTGTCTGTAAAGCAAAGCCACTGCCCTGTCCCAGTGTTTCATTTCCAGAGAGGGCAGTTCTTTTCTTCCCGGTCCTTTGAAAGTGTCAGAAAGCAAAATGGAAAGGAATCTCTTTCACCACTTTTTTAACCTGTAAAATTTCCCTCTTTCAGCTGCTGTGTGTGACACCCAGCAGGACCCAGGGCTGAAATTGGTCTTGATTCCACCTCTAGCTGCACTTCCAGCTTCCTTCCCACCGCTGCTCTCTTCCTCCTGGGCCTTGTCCTAAAGGCTGACCCAGAGATTCTCACCTTGACAAATTCCATGTCACCAGCCAAACCCGAGTGGTGCAGCAATTAAAATGAACAGGGGCATGGTGGTGGGTAGCCAGAGATGAACCCTGAAACTACTGTGGTTGTCACAGCCCTGAGCTGTGGCAGGGATGTATCCAGGGACTCTCTGAGGTCTCCAGCACTTAATTGGAGTTATTTTCCCATCCTAGACCGGTGTGTGGATGTTGGTAGACTTGTGCACACACAGGAATGTGTAGCTTTTTTTAAACCAGGATGCACCACGGAAGTGCTGCTGCCTGTTTTGGGCTCTCAGGAGCCCTAATCCAAATTAAACCAGCCCCAAAGTGCCCTGTGACCCCACGGAGCTGACCTGCACCCCTGGGAGCTGTGAGGAGGAGGGGAGGGTTTGCTCTGCAGTTCTTTGTGAGCTTGTGTTTTGTGAGTGGATCTCTTCTTCCCTGCCCAAAACCACAGCCAGGAACAGTCTGCTCCCTTCAGACTCCGATTCTCAGCACTCCGCCCTACATCAGATAATGCTTTTCAGTTATTAAATTCTGGTTTGTTCTTCCTTTTTCTTTCCTTTTCTTTGTTTTCGTTTTTTTTTTCCTTTCTCTTTCGGTTCGGTTTTATTTCTTTGCGATTAGCTTCGGTTTGAATTAACTGTCTTGTTCTGTTCCCATGACAACTCAGTGTTTGCATCCCACCTGCCGTTGTTTGTTGCTGTTGATGCTGTTTGCTGACCGGATCTTGTCCGGATATGTCTCCCCATTCCTCCTCACCTTTCCCACCTTGCCTCCCCCTCTCCAGAAGGTTACATGCCAGCCCCTCCTCTAAAGAGTCATCCCCACCCCAGATTTGTCTGCATGTTGACCCCACTTGTTTCTCTCCAAGTTCTCTCCATCTTGTCTCAGACTGTGACAGGTGTGGTTTTCACCTGGCTCCATTTTCTGAATTGTGGTACCTCCAGAAGCAGTGGGAAGAAGGATGGAGTAGGAAACAGGGATGTACCTTCATTTTTAGGGCTGAAAGGCCTCCACAGTCACAGGAGGGAGGAAGGAGCATGTTGCCTGATCCTTTGAGCCAGTGCTGGTCCCTGAGGTGGTAAAAAACCCTCCTCACACCTTTCTCCAGGTAGAAAGTCACCTTCTAGTGTCAGTGGTCAGGTGAGTTTACAGTCTCTCCCTCCACATGCTAATTCTTTCCCCAGCTGAGGGCATGCCACCCATTATCCCTGCAAACCCATGCATGCAGGAACTCTCCTCTGCCATTCCTGACCTTCCAGTGCCACAAATCTGGAAGTCTTCTCTTCCTTGCCTCCCAGTACTGGTTCCTGGCTACCAGTACCTGCAGAAAAGAGTCTGACAGCCCGATGGGGAGACCAGACCGTGTGTCAAGATGTCCCTTGTCACCTTGCAGGACGATGCAAGGGCTGTAGTTGGCTTTTGTTTACCAAAGCCCCACTAAATGGCAAACAGCCACTAGCTTTCCTGGCACTGCCCTTCCCATTGGAAAAGATCCATAAAGCTGAGTGACAGCCAGGGAAGTGAGATAAATACTAGAAAACCCCAAGACATCAGTTCCAGGGGACATCTGAAGGCACTGGGACTCGGGAGGAGCGAGGGCAGGCTCAGCTCTGCTGCCCTTGGCTTTGCTTTTGCATGAGGCAACGGCCACTGAGCCCTAGAGAGGTTGTTCCGAAGTTACCTGGGAATAGGGCAGCAGGGACAGGTGGTTCTCAGGCCCCCAGCACTCCAAACTCTCCTGCCCCCTCGCCCACCCTGCCTGAGGGAGTTCCTGCATGGCTGTCCCTGGAGCTGGAGGAATCCTGCACTCCCATTCCCCTCCGGCTGCTGCTGTTCCTGCATTTTTCCCGGGTCCATATCCTTTTGTCTTTGCCTGTGAGGATGAGACCCTGCCCTCAGCTCCCTCCCTAGGGCCTTTCTGATCCACACATGTTCTCCTTTGTCCATTCTCCTGCTTTTCCCCCTAAGGAAGGGCCCCCACAGTTCCTCCAGCCAGCCCGGGTCGTTCAGAAAATGGAGCCAAGGAAACCACAGCCTCCCCCTTTGCGTCCATGTTCTTCCTGTGTAAGGTCTGGAAGCTGCATCCACCTCTCTGCTAAGGAGATGCACAGAACATGTCACTGTTTTCTCAACGTTAAAAGTTTCATTACCTTGTTTTTCTTATTAATTCTATTCTATTTATTATTCCGCCAGGGCTGAGATGTGACAATGTGAGCCACCACATTGGGTCACATCAGCTAGAAAAAGTATGCAGCATTAAAGTGGGTTTCCCCCTTCCCCTCCCTCTCTCTCTCTCTCTTCTTTCTCCCTTCCCCTCTTGTTCTCCTTCTCCTGGTCTTCCTTCCTTTCTCTGTCGCTCACTCTCTATCCAGTATCCATGTGGGCATTTGCTAGCCGCCCAGAAATTATATTTCTCTGCATTTTCCTCTCTCCTTCTCTCTTTCTCTCTCTCTCTGTCTCTCTTTTTTACCTATTTTGCATGATGTTTGTGACTCTGAGAGCTGCATCTATCGATGGAACCGTGTCAGATCTTAAAGAGGCTTCGTTAGGGTTTCTATACCCGAAAACCACAAAAATTTCATTAGAGTTTCTCATCTTTTCCACACTCTCTCTCGCTCCAGGGGGACTGTGTTCCCCTGGACGCTTCTCACACGCAGGCACCAACTAAATTCTGTCCCGCTCCGGGGACTCCCTCTCCTCCCTTGTTGACCATTTTGCCTTTTACTTCTCGAGTGGCGCGTCTGGAATTTGGGGATGTGACACTTCTCTCTTTGTTGAATTCTCTGGGTCCAACAAGGCAAAACGTTGAGAAGTTTCCATCTCCATCCCGACCTTCTCCTCACCCCCTCCCCACCTCTGCAGCACCCCTGGGTGGGAGAGGGCCCCTCTCTGGAGACGGAGGGGGCACCTGGACCACGCTGGGCCGTGGTGGTGGACGGGCTGTTCCTTTTGGGAGAAGGTGATCCGGGGTCAGACTCCACTGGGAAAGGGGAGGAGCAGGTTCCCGGGGTGTGGAGCGGGGAGCTGGGGGCCCCAGCGGCCACGGAGGAGATTTTTGGACGCTCGCCATGCCAGCTCTTGCCAGTAAAGATGAGAAATTGCTAATAAATTTTTGTGTATTTATCTGTGCTGTGATGGGTCTAATCTTGATCAATGGAACCCTGTTGCTATGAAATATCGCTTTTATGTCTATATTCTATATATTGTTTGTGAAGTACAAATTTATTTGGAGTTTAGTTTTTTTTTTCGGTTTTCGGTTTTCGATTTTTTCATTTCTTCGTTTTTTCGTTTCGTTTTTAATGAAGGAAGAAAATAAACGATGACAAAACCCCATCTGTATTTAAATTACCTTTTGCTCTTTTTTCTTTTTTCTCCCTTCTTTTTCTTTCCTTTCTTTCTCTCTCTCTCTTTTTTTTTTGTTTTTTTTTTGTTTTGGTTTTTTTTTTTTTTTTTTACTTTATTTTGGTTTTTCGGTTGGTTTTTTTTTTTGTTACCTCTGTGCGTCTCGTCCACAGTTCGCCGTGTGGCCCCTCGCTTCTCCATCTTACCTGTCAGCCATGAAATCATGCCCGGGGGCAACGTCAACATCACGTGCGTGGCCGTGGGTTCGCCCATGCCCTACGTCAAGTGGATGCAGGGAGCGGAGGACCTGACGCCCGAGGATGACATGCCCGTGGGCAGGAACGTCCTGGAGCTCACGGACGTCAAGGACTCCGCCAACTACACCTGTGTGGCCATGTCCAGTCTGGGAGTCATAGAAGCCGTTGCCCAGATCACGGTGAAATGTAAGGGAGCGTGAGCACGGCCAGAGCCAGCGCGGGGCCCGGCTGCACGCGGGGGGAGCGGGCACGGGGCGGGGGGCACGGGCAGGGCACGGGGCAGAGGGTCTGAGCATGGGGGCACAGCACACCCGGGCACGTGCCGTGCCCGTGCATGGGAGCGTTCGGGGGATGTGGCACGAATGGGAATGTTGGGTCCTGCATCGTCCTGTGTCTCTGCATGGGGAGAGCCTGGGACTGCCCGAGCTGCACGAGAGGAGTGTGGGGGCACAGTCCTGCATGGCCAGATGCTCGTGCACGAGTGGGTGTGTGCATGGAGAGGGACACGGTCCTGCATGGCCAGGTGTGTGTGTGCATGGAGAGGGACACGGTCCTGCATGTCCAGGTGCTCGTGCACGAGTGGGTGTGTGTGTGCATGGAGGAGGACACAGTTCTGCATGTACAAAGGTGCTTGTGCACGAGTGGGGGTGTGTGTTTGCACGGAGAAGGACACAGTTCTGCATGTCCAAGGTGTGGGAGATGGAGAGGGGCACCGTGGCTGCATCGTGGGCGTGTGGGTGCCTGGCTGCACGTGTGTAAGTCCATGTTTTGCTACCAGCCTGTGTGTACATGTGGAGGTCCGTGGCCATGGGCAGGGACACAGACTTGTGCACCCCCAGTGCCGTGTGCTGGGATCTGTGCAAGTGTCCTCAGGGATCCCACACGCAAGGAAACCCACAGTGAAGGGGAAGCTGGTGGCTTGAGACCTTCCCTCGCTTTAGGACACCTGAGGTGTTTGTTATGAAGAGAAGTGTGGCTCCAGTCCCTGCATGCTTGTGTCTGTCCTGGCATATGAGGCTGGCTGGGCACTTTGCAAGGAGCCTTGGATGGCTTGGAGCCTGCATGCCATCCTGTTCCAAGGTTAGAGATTCAGCCAAGGCCCTGAGGATCTCTGGCATGTGAACCCTTGCAGTAGAGCTTAGTTCCAGCATCTTAGTGGCCGTTGTTGCCTCAACAAGACGGGGAATAACCCCAGCTTCCAGCTAGTGATTCCCAAGAGGAGCACGGGTGCCATCTTCAATCTATTCTATCCTCAGCAGGGGAGTATTAAACCCAAGCAGGAAGCCCCTGAGGTTGGGTGAGTGTAGAGCTCTGTGTGAGCTGGTGTCTGCTCCGAGTGCTGGTGTTGCCCACGAGGGATCTGGGAGAGACGGGGTGGGAAAGGATGCGGCGGGTGGGGGATGAGAGGAGAAACACTTTGGAAAAGGGGAGAGATAAAGAAAAACAATCGTGTCATATCAGTGATCTGCCTGAGGAAGGTCTGACAGGAGAGATGTGCAGGGACTAGTGAATCTTGGCATGACACTCATCCTGAGCTTCTGCACAGGGAGTGGGCTCTCGTGCCAGCAGAAGGATGCCTGGGGCTGGACTCAGGTCCTCTTTATTTTCCTGAGTGTTTCCTTCCTTCCCTGTCTTATCCTCTCAATTTAAAAAGCTGCTGTGAAGGGTAGATTGCTTCTGCTTCCAACTCTCCCATCTCCTCAGATGGGGAATCTTGCCCTGCTGGTACCTTCTGCCTTTTGTCATTTTATTTGTCCTGTTCTTTCTTGCGTTGCTGCGTGTGAGCATCTGCAGCTCTCCAAGGCAGAAGATGAAAGGAGAAATGGGAGTTTTATTGGTCTAGAGAAGACTGGCTTCAAAGCCAGGTTGGACAGGGCTTGGAGCAACCTGGTCTAGTGGAAGGTGTCCCTGCCCATGGCAGGGGGGTGAAACTGGATGGTCTTTAAGGTCCCTTCCAACCCAAGCCAGTCTGGGATTCTATGGTAAGATGAGGTTGGAAAGGGTCTAAAGAGTGTAGTGAGGACAACACATAAAGCTTGAGAATAGGTAAAGCTTGAGAAGACTTAACACTTGCTGTTGAAGGTGTTGGGCATCATGCAGTCCCCAACAAGCTCCAAGGGGAGTCATCTGGCTGAGGGAGAGGGAGATGAGTATTAACACACCTTTGTGGCTTCAGAGGAAGCACTCCCAGAATTTATGGGGTTTTGTTCTGAGGAGCTCAGCCCACGCTGTGCCATTGCCTCCTGCTGAAGAGGGGGAGGTTCAGCAGTGGCAGAGCCATTTGGAACATCTGAGCGTGTGCTGGGAAGGAGCTCCTGCAAAGCTGCTTCCCGTCCCTGCCATGTGAGCCGGCGGATGTGCAGCTGAAGTCTGAGCTAATGATTCCAGATGTTTAGCTGAACGCCTTCCCTTTGATGGAGCAGTTTAAGGAGGATAATAGAGTGTATAACTAGGTTCATAATATTCCAGCAGCACTCTCCCGAGCTGCCGTGATTGGTGCTGTGCCTCCGGCTCCCGCAGCCCTAACCAGCCCAATTAGGCACCATTTCAGCATTTGTGGTGTTTTGTTTTTTTTTAAATGCCTGTTCTTCCTGATTCTCAGCACTTCCCAAGGCTCCTGGAACTCCAATGGTGACAGAGACAACAGCAACAAGTATCACCATCACCTGGGACTCTGGAAACCCAGACCCCGTGTCCTACTATGTCATTGAATACAAGTCTAAAAGCCAGGATGGGCCGTACCAGATCAAGGAGGACATCACCACCACGCGCTACAGCATCGGGGGGCTCAGCCCCAACTCCGAGTACGAGATCTGGGTCTCTGCGGTCAACAGCATCGGGCAGGGGCCTCCCAGCGAGTCGGTGGTCACTCGCACCGGGGAACAAGCTCCCGCCAGCGCCCCCCGGAACGTGCAGGGCCGGATGCTGAGCAGCACCACCATGATCATCCAGTGGGAGGAGCCGGTGGAGCCCAACGGGCAGATCCGCGGCTACCGCGTCTACTACACCATGGAGCCCGACCAGCCCGTCAGCAACTGGCAGAAGCACAACGTGGACGACAGCCTGCTGACCACGGTGGGCAGCCTGCTCGAGGATGAGACCTACACCGTGCGGGTCCTGGCCTTCACCTCCGTGGGAGACGGGCCCCTCTCCGACCCCATCCAGGTTAAGACGCAGCAGGGAGGTGAGCACCTGTGTCACTGCCCTGGGATGTGGGAAGGAGAGGTGTTGGTTGGGTTTGGAGGTTTAGATTAGATGTTGGGAAGAAATTCTTTGGCTGTGAGGGTGGGGAGGCCCTGGCACAGGTTGCCCAGAGGAGCTGTGGCTGCCCCATCCCTGCAAGTGTCCAAGGGCAGGTTGGATGGGGCTTGGAGCAGCCTGGGCTGGTGGAAGGTGTCTCTGCCCATAGCAGGGGGTGGAACTGGAAGATCTCTGAGGTCCCTTCCAACCAAAACCTTTTTATAACTCTAAATGTCTTTAGTAGACCTTAAACCACTCAGTGCCCAGGCAGTGGTAACACTTTGACTCTCCCTGAAGGACCCAGAAACTATTTTTTCAGAGATGAGTGGGAAACGAGCCTTTTTTTACTCTTTTCTGCAAGAGGAGCAAAACAAAGCCCTAATTGTCACAGCAGATGTGCTGAGCTGCAAACATGAGGTATTTTATCAGAGGCTGTCACCCAACATTCTTTTCAGTGCTTATGGCATGGGGTGCTGGTGAGGAAACCCTGCATCCTCATGGGCTTCCTACTTCCAGAGTCTTGTAATACTGGGAATTACTGCAAAGGGCTGTGTTCCACACTGCCGAGAAAGAGGCATATGATCCAGTGGGACACTTCTTCTCCAGCAGCTCTGCACATGCTGGAGTCCTGCAGTGGGATTTAACTCCACTGCTGTAGAGGCAGGACCTGCCCACACTGCAGTGTGGCATTTTGCTGCTGACGTGCTCTTCCCACACAGGCTTTGAAGAAGAGAGGGCAGGAGCCTTCTAATTAGCCAAGCTAATGTGTTTTCTCCTGTTTCTTATCTTGCCTCCTCGGCCCCATCCGCTCCTTCCCCGTGCCAGTTCCTGGGCAGCCGATGAACTTCCGAGCAGATGCCAAGACCGAGACGAGCATCGTGCTGACGTGGAGCCCTCCACGCCAGGAGATCATAGTGAAGTACGAGCTCCTCTATAAGGAAGGAGACCACAGCAAGGAGGTGAGTCCAGAGAGGAGCAGGTCTGTGGCTGAGGAGCATCCCAGCCCCACCATTCCCAGCGAGAGGGGAGCAGGGCAGGCGTCTCCGGGCAGGGTTCACCTCTGCTCCTTTTTGGTTTGGTTTTACGGTTTTTTTTTCTCTTCCCGCCTCGCCCCCCTCAGGTGCTGAAGAACTTCGAGCCGACGACGTCCTTCACGGTGGAAGGCCTGAAGCCCAACACTGAGTATGTCTTCCGGCTGGCCGCCCGCTCGGCTCTGGGCCTGGGGGCCTTCACCCCGGAGGTCCGAGAGCGCACCTTGCAGTCTAGTAGGTGTCTCTCCTTTTCCCACCCTTCTCTGAGGGGACGACAGTCAGGGAGCCAGAGATGGTGGGCACGGGGGTACGGAGCTGGGGGGGGGACGTTGGTGGCCCTGCGGTTTCGCTGTGGGGATGGGGGGTGAGGGGGACACCCCCTTTGGGATCTGCTCCCTTCTGTCTCGCTTTGCTGGTGCGGGTAGCTGAGATGTGAGCGAGGAGCATTTTGGGGGGTGGTGAGGGGCCAGGTAGCACCATCCACGTGGGGTGGGAGCAGCGAGGGGCTCGTGGTGCTGAGCATGCTCAGGGAGGACAGGACCCCCCAGCCTGTCCCCACGCAGCCCCAGCAGCAGCCGTCGGGAAGGGGGGCACAGGCAATGGAGCAGGGAGGTGGTGGGGAGTCGGAGGGAGAGGAGGAAGGGAGGTGATGTTCCCAAGCCCAACGTTTTCACCACCCTTTGGGGAAGCAGCCCTCGTGCTCTTTTCCGTGAGCAGCTCCACAGCTGTGGGGAGGAAGATCTGCTGGCCCAGTGAGTGCTGGGAATGGTCCCGTTTGGGCTCCGGCAGAGTGGGAGGAAGGAGTCATGTGGAGGCAGGGAGGGGGGATATTGATGATACCAGGGTGGAGTGTATGCAACCAAAACATGCTGGTTTTAGTTTAATGGATTGTCTCCCTTTGCTGTTGCCCCGGGGACAATAACCCTGGATGGCAATATTTCAACCTGGGCTTTTCACAGATCTTTGCTTTTAAATGAGGTGTTTTTTCACTGCATGAGTGGCTGTGGCAGCTGTTCTTTGTGTTTTCTGTCTCCTCTCATCTCTACTAAATCACTCCGCTGCAGTTTGGAGTAGCCGGGAGCAGAACTAACTCAGAAATGGCTCTGGTCACCAGTGTGAGGAGGGAGAGCACCCACTCCCATCCCTCAGAGTCCCTAACAAGGGGGAGCAGCAGGCTCTGGGCTGGGTTTTTTGATTGTCACATCCTGCTGTCTCTCTCTTTCCCCTTCTCCTTCTCTTTCTGTCCTCTGAGGAGTGGGAAGAAAGGGGAGTCTGTTTCTGCACAGACAGAATTCCTCACTGGGGCTTTCTCAGGCCTCCACTCCCTTCAAAGATTTTTGTTTTCTTCTTTCCTTCAAATGTTTTTCCCCTTTTTCCCTTCTCTTTTTTTTTTCTCCATACTCTCTCTGCGTTTCATAGGAAAATCCTTTCCTGACTCTGCTGCACATCTGCTGGTTCTGATCCCAGTGTGGTACTGTCAGAGGGAGCATCACTGTGGGATGGGGGAAATGAACTGAAAAGACCTGAAAAATAAGTGTTAAACTTACACTCTGCTTCTGTTTTCCAAGGGGTTTCTCTCCTTGAGATCTGTGGGGATGGGAGGAAAAAAGGGTCTGGGATTTGTTCTTTCTGGTTCAATAAAACAGGCTGGAAGAGGGGTGTGGAAGCTGATGGCAGTAGGGCTTAGTGAAGCTGAAAATTTGTCCCTAAAGGGTGAGGAGAAGGGGATCTGGGAAAGGGGAAGGCTTTGGGGCTTTTTCTAACTTGGCACCTGCCCAGAACAGGGCCGGGTTTCTCTCTCTGTAGCTCAGCTTTCATAGGGAGAGTTCCATTAATTTAACGCTCTTAAGAACATCAGCTGGGAGCTGTCAGTGTCCTGTAACACGGTGAAACATTTTTTCCTGGCTGGCTGTTGGAGGAACGAGTCAATTCTCCCTGGTCCAGGCGACATCCTTCGGCTCACAGACCTTCTGGCTCGGGACAGGCTTTTGTGTCTTCCCTCCGCAGCTCCTTTTCCGTTCAGCTCCTCCTTGGCCCGCTCCATGCCTCTTCTTTCTTCTCTCTTCTGCTCTCTGCTTGCCTTGCCTGCATGCTCTGCAGCCTGATGAACCAGCTCCCTGCTCTCTCTGTCTGTCCCTTGCTGGGTGATGTCACACCACGATGGCATCTTGTCCCTGGAATGTCAGATCCCCCTCCCAGCCCTCGCTGCTCCCCCCTCCCCGCATGTCGCAGCCCCCTGCACTGCACCCCCTCCCTGCACCTCCCTGTCAGGGTGGCTCCTCCTGAGCATCATAACCAAAGTAAAATCCATTAAACTAAAGGTAAAGTATCTTTTTCTTCTTGAAGTAGCTGGGTTTTAACTCTTCAAGTACCAGAGACGTAGAGTGTAAAACTTAACAGAACTCTCTCATGGCTGGAAGAAGCTGGTTTGCCCTTTCTGGTTAGCCATGACCTTCCCAGGGCTCCCTGGCAACTCTTCCTACTTGGAAATTTCAGGGTGAAAAGCGTGGGCAGCAGACAGGGGTGGCAGGGTGGGTGCTGTGAGGCTGCATGTGCAGGTGTAGAGGAACAACGGGGCTTTCTCACCCTCTGTTCCTGCCTAAGAAAGGATGTTCCCCCCCACCCCCATTAGCTCTGCTCTCCTTCCCATCCCCCTTCCTCACAGTACATGAAGTGAATGAAACTTATCCAAAGTCTATGGTACCTAAAGGGTTAAAAAACATGATATATATTGTACAAGGTCAGTAAGGGTCATTCTTGTGGCTTGGACAGTCAACTTTAAAGCATGTAAAAGATGCAGCTCAGGTGAGTAACTGGCTGGTCTCAAGCAGATTCACAAATACAGTCCACCCTGTTGCTGCAGGCTCACCCACACGTGTGTGGCTCTGCACACACTCATGGATGTCCTGGAGCCCATGGGAGGGTGGGGAGGGATCCCAAAATGCTGTCTGCTGGTGAAAACAGCCCAGCAGACAAAGGTGGTGCTCTCCTGGCTGGGGGCTCCTGCCCGTGCCGTGGCTCCCTGCCCAGCGAAGGGGCTGGTTACAGATGTGAACTCGCAGCCCCCAGTTTGGGCTGTGGCTCTTGGCCTCCTGCAGCAGCTCCCCGGGCCTCGGGGCTGTCCCCACGTCTCCAGGGTCACACAGGTTGGGCTGGATTGTGAAGGAATCACAGTGCCATGAGCTCCCCAGGCGTCTCCAGCGTCAGCACTGGGCGGCTCCTTCCCATCCAGTGCTGCGGCCGATGAGAGTGACGGGGAGGGGGCCCGGGGGGCACCTGGGCCTTCTCCCATATCACCCCCACCCCACCCCTCCTTTTTGACCAGAGAAAGTGCAAACCATCCCAAAAGGAGGCCTCACCTCAGGGCCTCTCGGTAGGTCCCTGTGCTGGAGGAGAGGGTGAGTGAGCGAGACACGCGCAGCAGCGGCAGTGCAGTGACCCCAGGCCCGGCTGGAGCTGAGCTCTGCTCACTGGGGCTTTCAGAATGAGGTTCAGGATGGAAGGGTAGGTCAGGTCAGACCCTCTCTGCAGTGGGTTTCTCGGCTGTGGTGGCTTTGGCTGGTGTGAGTAGGAGAGGTGGGTTTGAATATGACCAGCCTCTGCTGGGGAGTAAAAAAAAGAAGGGAATGGCATCCTGGCAGCAATGGGAGAGGGCTCAGCCTTTCCCTCCATATCCTGAAACGGATTTGAGTTGGTTCTGGGGTGTGGGAGTAACCTCTGTTCTGGGTAAGGTGCTGCATCAATCCCAGCAGATGGAAAGAGCCAAAGGGGAAGGAGATCCATCAGTGGGAATGTGCCACCCTGCTCCCTGCTCTCTGTGCTGATAGCTTAGCAAAAGAGAACAGATTGGGGTCCAAAATTGCCATTTCTGCAATAGCTGAGGTTCTGATGACAGGGGGAGGACTCGGGAGGACTGGTCATGGGCAGAGTGGCATTTTAAAAGCCAGTCATGTGCAGAAACCCACCAGGAGCTTGGTCTGGCCTCGTAGCTCAGTTCCTCTTGCTCTCTTGTGAGAAAGTCTTATAAGTTAGCAGTTGAAGCGTGGAAGGTAGGTAAACAGACTGGGAATGTTCTGGAAGGAGTCACTTTTTATATCAGTATTATTTTATTATTATGATTTCCTTTCTGATTTTTTTTTTGTTTCAAATTACTGGCCTGATTTATGTTTTATTTTCCAGTTTGTTCCTTTTGGTTTTGTTCATTTGACATATTCTGTGTTATTTTGTGTGGCCAGCCATGGCTGGGGCACTCAGCCTCCTCACTGGGAGTTGCTGAGGAGAAGGGGGTCATTCTGCCAGGTTAAAGGCAGCAATGAAACATAGAAATAGTAGGAAAACACCCCAAATATCCTGCTGGGCAGGGTGCTCAGACTGCAGAGGAAGGAGTATCTTTGCCCTTTCTGCAAACCCACTTCCCTCTGTCTTGTGGAGGAATGTGGAGAATATGTGGCTCTCACTCCAGTGCAAACTGGGCAAAGGATTCAGCAGAGTCCTCAAAGCAAATTGGGCCTAAAGAACTGCTTGTGACTCAGGATGGAGGTACAAGGTTTGAAAACAACCATTCCTCAGTTAAAGAGCTTTTTGTTAATCAAAAAGCATCAGAGGAATGAGGAGTTGTGACCAGCTTTTATCTGCTGCTTCTTCCAGGTGATACTTGGGGGGCTTGTAAGCTCGCTCCAGTTTCTGGCAGTGTCTGCAGAGAGTTAAAAGCTCTTTATTGCAGTTGGGTGAGATTGGATTTATGGATTCGCCTTGAAAATGGATCACACTGTGCTTCCCTGGGCTGATTGATTGTCATTAGGGATGGACAGAAGTGTGATCTAATCCCTGGAAGTGTCCAAGGTCAGGCTGGACAGGACTTGGAGCAACCTGGCCTAGTGGAAGATGTCCCTGCCCATGGCAGGGGGTGGAACTGGATGAACTTCGGGGCCCTTCCGACTCAAACCATCCTGAAATTCCATGAATTCCCCCAAGTGCCCAGGCTCAGGTTGGAGAACAGAAGTGACAGACCCTTTGTGCAGACTCTGCCAAGGTCTCAGACCTGCGGCATCTCCGTTAACAAACCCACACTTCCTGCAGCTCTCCTGTACCTCGGGCACAGCCCTGCACCAAGAGCTGGAGCTTCCACCTCCCCCACCTCCTCACCACCCTTAGCCAGGTGTCTGCTGCCACCCTGAGAAGGTGACTGGGTAGGGCCACCCTTCCCAAGGTTTCCTCACGGGATGAACAGGAGCTGTGTAGGGCCACCCTTCCCAAGGTGCCCTCCTGGGATGCTCAGAAACACCCTGGTGTAGTCCAGGCAGTGGGAATTGGACCTGCTGCTGCTTTGGAAAATCCCACTTGGTGCCTGAATCCCTCACCAAACCCTGCTGCCTCCCTCCTTCTGCAAGTGTTTTCTCCAAACCCTCCTCTCTAAACACACTGTGGGCTCATTGCTTGGCAGTGTCCTGGGCATTCCCACCGTGGGATTTGGCCTCCTCCAGTCTGTGGACAACTAATCGCTTCCATCTGGAGGTACAAGCTCTTAAATTTAAGCCTCCTGGCAAAAGATTTGCTTTTCGTACTTAATTTTCACAGATCCCTTCAAAGAAATTCAAGATCCCAGAGACTGAGGTTGGAAAAAGTACTTTCCCAGCCAGGGCAGGATTTGCCAGACTGATGTAAAACAGGGAGCCAAAGGAAAGGGCTTTTATAGGGTGCAGCTGGGTGCTTAGTTTGTGCCAGCCATGCTCAGTGGAAGCAGCAGGACCCCTCTTGGCGAGCCCACTTGCTGCTTTAGTCCTTTGCTTTACACCATTTCAGTTTTGATGCCCCATTTAATTTCCGTTGGCTTTTTTCTTTTTTTTTTTAAAAAAAAAACCCTCTTCGTTTCAAAAACAAAAAAGGCAACAACAACAACAACAAAAGAAAAAGCTCTCTCCTCTTTTAATTTTATCTTCCTAAACCAAATTTTCGTACGTTTTATTTTAGATTTTTTCGTTACCATTTTTTTCCTTTTTTTTTTTCTTTTACCTTTCCCATCTTTTGTTTGTTTTTTTTTCCCCCCTCCTCCTCCTCCTCTTCCTCCTCCTCCTCCTCCTCTTCTTCTTCCCCCCTTCCCCCCCTTTCCTGAATTTTCCCCCCCCTCGTAGAACCGTCTGCCCCCCCTCAAGATGTAAAATGTGTCAGCACTCGCTCCACCGCCATTCTGGTAAGTTGGCGGCCGCCTCCGGCCGAGAGCCAGAACGGCGTCCTGGCTGGATACAGCGTCTACTATCGAGCGCTGGACTCGGAGGACACGGAGCTTAAGGAGGTGAATGATATCCCCCCAACCACCAGTCAGATCCTGCTGGAGTCCCTGGAGAAGTGGACGGAGTACCGCGTCACGGTGGTGGCTCACACGGAGGTGGGGCCGGGCCCGGAGAGCTCGCCGGTCATCGTCCGCACGGATGAAGATGGTAATTGAGCTGCTTCTGGTTTCCCCCCCCCCACCACCGAGTCCCCTGGGGAATTCGTGGCCCTGGAGGGGGCTGTTCTCATGCCAGCAGGTCCCTTCCCATGGCTCGAGTCCCTTCCCATGGCTCAAGTCCCTTCTCGTGGCTCAGGTCCCTTCTCGTGGCTCGAGTCCCTTCTTGTGGCTCGAGTCCCTTCTTACGCCTCCTGTGGTGTGAGACCAAAGCTGGAGGGGGATCACACCCAACCTCCGGTCCCCAGTGGGCCCGTTACTTTGTGTTGGCACACCAGGCAGACCCAGAGGAGGTGTTAAAGTCCTTGGCCCCTGCAGGATGTAGTACTGGTGAAGGTGTTTGTGCCGTGGCAATAGGTGGGTCGCTGGTGATGCCCCAGAGAGGTTGGGAGCACTGGGGTGATGAACACAAAGCTGTGAGTTGCCCTTTGCTGCCATCTCCCCGAGCCCTCTGAGCACTGGGGTCTGGAGGGTTGTCCTGCCCTGCTTTAGGGCATTTCTCGGGCTTCTGGGGGGCTTTTTTAACATCCAACTGCACCACTGTCCCTGAAAAGATGCCCTTACTGAGCCAGGATCAGCTGAGGCAGCAAGGCACCAGAATCAGAGGATACAGCTGCTGCCAGAAACTGCTTTCATAGAATCATAGTATATCCTGAGTTGGAAGGGATCCACAAGGATCATCTAAGTCCAGCTCCTGGTCCTGTACAGCACAGCCCCGAGAATCCCACCCTGTGCCCAAGAGCACGTTTTAAAATATTAAGAGTTCTTTCCCACACATTCCCTGTTACTGGCTCCTCCTTAAGTCAAAGTTTTGGTTAGTAGTGCAAAGGAGGAATCTGTTAAAGTTTCCAGAGACCTTCAGGGACAACAGGTCAGTGGCCCCACTCAGAGACTTGAATTTCCCTGGTATTTCTACAGTAAAATAAAACCAGGAAAAAGCAGGAATGCGTGCATGAAGGGAGAGGAGCACCCTCCCTGTGAGGGTAGGACCTCAGATAAAATAGGTCAAGTAAATAACATAAGGAAATCTCAAACTTCTCAGGTGTTCTTCCTCCATCCCAAATCAAAAGAATTTATAAAAAAAGCATCAGTTTTGTCCTCAGTGTTGATCCTGTTTCCCTGAGTGCCCACCCACACCCAACTGGACCCTCCCAAAGGATGTGGGGTGTTCTTGCAGATTAAGCTCTCATACCCTGTATTATAGTTGTTGTCACTATTACTATTGTTATATTTCAAAAAAATCAGCCAAACTCCATCCAAGACATCTCTGCAGTGGTTATAACCCACCTGCCCTGCCTGAGAGACTAGGGAGCTCCAAGGGCAAGTCCCCCTCCTGATCCTCTCCACCCTGACCTCCCACGGACAGGACCACAGCTTTCCTGGCTCGTTAGAAACTGCCTTTGCCCTTGGAATGGGATCTGGAACTGTGTTGGTTCCTTCCATCTGAGCAAACTGGGCACAAAGGAGCGTGTGGAGGGATGGCTGGATGATGAGGTGGACCTGTTCCCTCCAGGTCTCCAAGCCATGCAGATTAGGTCCCTTGGAGCTTCTTCCCTGTTTCACTGGGAGGCTGGTGATGGATGATGGGATATCTGGTTGGTTGGGTCTCCCCCTCCTAGTTGGGTAGGTCTCCCCTTCCTACTTTAGTAGGTCTCCCCCTCCTACTTGGGTAGGTCTACTCCTCCTAGTTTGGTAGGTCTCCCCTTCCTACTTTGGTGGGTCTCCCCCTCCTCCCTGGGCTGCAGATTCAGGCTGTGCGTGTCCCGTAGGTGCAGTGACAGGCTCCAGCCAGGAATCCCCGAGTGACTGTTCCCCCTCTCTTCCCTTCCTCGCAGTGCCCAGTGCACCTCCTCGGAAAGTGGAGGTGGAGGTCCTGAACTCGACTGCAATCCAAGTGTTCTGGCGCTCCCCAGTCCAGAACCGCCAGCACGGCCAGATCCGGGGGTACCAGGTGCACTATGTGCGGATGGAGAACGGAGAGGCCCGGGGGCTGCCCCAGATCAAGGACATCATGCTGGCTGATGCCCAGGTAAGGACCCACCTGCTCCAATCTCTTCTGGAATCCTTGAGGGGGGGGGTGCTGCGGCTGCCGTGTCTCGTCCCGAGCACCATAACTGGAGGAGGCGGATGAGAACCTGTGACGAGGTGTGTGTTGTCTCTCTGCAGTTCATTTGTGCTCCCAGACAATAGTTACTTGGAAGAGTATGAGCTGCTGTCCCAGCACTGAACTAAATATCATCCATCCTCCCCGTGTCTGGGAATTTTTTTAATTCAGGCAAAGGCCACAGTGGAATCTACTAATTTTTCCCACTCTACTTCTTCCTTCATGCTGGCCTGGTAACTTCTGACCTTGTGTGGCTGCTTGCTCAGGGACTCCTTCCTCATGCTGTGTCTCTGTCTTTCCCTTCTTTCCCCTCTTGTATTCTCACGTGCCAAACCTCTCTTGTTCTCTGCCCAGTGGGAAACAGATGACACTGCTGAATACGTAAGTAAACCAGTAAAAATCCTCCCATCCTGGTTCTGTCCCTTCCCTTCTCCCACTTCCTGTTGTGGTGTGATATTTTCCTTTTCCTTTATTTTTTTTTGCAGTGCCTGTGTGCCTGTTTTAGAGCCTGTTGGTGGTGTTCCCATGCATTGTCCCCACCCTGTCACTATGATCTGTGACCCTCTGTGATCGTGTTGTTTGTCAGCACGCTGCAATCCCACAGGGTTTTCCCTTTGGCTGCAAAGGAAAGATGGATCTGCTGCTGCTCCTCCATGGGGAAGCAGATGGGACCTTGAATTTGGGACTGCCTTGAACATATCAGTATCCTAAAATGGTTTGGGTTGGAAGGGACCTTAAAGACCATCTTGTTCCACTCCCTGCCATGGGCAAGGACACCTTCCACTAGACAAGGGTGCTCATCTGGGCTGGTCTGCAACACCTCTGTGTCTGGAAAAGATAGTTAGGCTGGGAAGCACTGGGAATTCATAATCCATGAGTCCTGAGCTGTAAACAAACAGGGCATAAACAAACACCTTGTGCCCTGAAAGGGCCAAGATTCTTAAAAACTCATTGATACAAAGCACTGAATCACTGTTGGTGCTTTTACCTGTAAGTACCTTAAAATCAGCCTGGCTGTTTGGCATTTGCTATTTCTGCTAAAATGATAAATGTTTTCCATAATCTTGCAGCTACAAAGCAGTAGGAGAAAGCATTTCCTCCTTGGAATGACAGGGTCCTAAAATAAGACACTTTGTGTCTCCTGGAGGTTGCCAAGTGCCCTACAGAAGCAAGGGGGCCTCTTATTTTTGTGATGGAGAAACTGAGTCTCATGAAAGGCAAAGCCCCTTGCCTAAAATCTTAATAAAACTCAGTGGCAGGTGTGGAAGCAGAACAAGTTCTTGACTTCCAGAAGATGGACCTGTCCCTGCATCCTACAACTTCCAGACCCATTGATCAAAATCCCACAGTTCTGAAGTTCTACTGTTCCACTCCCTGCTCACCTTTGGGGAAATAGTTATTTTCAGGACTAACAAATTCTTCCCGAGTGCTGCCCTGAGATTTAATATCAAAAGCATGAAGGGGTGGTAGAGAAAAGCCATAAAAATGCACAGTATTCCCATCTCCCTCCTTTCCGAGGCCTTGGGGAAAACCTTGCTGCATGTGCTGTCATCCTCTTTGATTTAGCACGGGTGTTCCTTTCCCAACACAGCCCTTTGAAAGGCTGGGTCCCTCCTGGAGAAGGGCTGTTCTTCAGGCCAGTGTTCCAACAAAAGCTCCTGAGAGCCAGGTGTGGGAAGGCTGATAGAGGATGGGAAGGAGGGGGTGGGATTTAGGAGGGAGCTTTAGTGGGCGAGCTGAAAACGTTGTCTTGCACTTTACGTTCAAGAAATCCCTTTAATATTGTGAAGGCATTAAAAATATCTCTGAGGAGAGAAGAGAGGGGGTAATGGTGAAAAAAATGTAATCTCCCTGAAACCTCTGAGCCCTCCTCTGAGGCTGCACAGTGGAGAGGAAAGCTTTGAAGGGAGCGACGGCGTTTGGATGCTGAAGTGGTTTGTGTAGAGACAGGGAATGTGTGAGAGGTAGGTCTGGAGGAGAACACCTTGAACAGGGCCCTGCAGAGCCAGGCTGTGTTCACAGAGCTGTGTGTGCCTCATCCTGTGGCTCTCACTCTCCTGCCAGTTCCCACAGCTCCAGTCGCCCCAGAGTGTCTCGTGCTCTCGGATTCAGTGTTTTCCTGCATGCTAGAAAAGGGCTGAGACTCCTGCAAGGAGGAGAGATCTGCCCGTGTGTGTGGACCCCAATACTGACAGGGTTTTCCTTTGGAATCTTGCAAACAGGAAATGGTCATTGCTGGGCTCCAGCCGGAGACTTCCTATTCCATCACCGTCGCCGCCTACACCATGAAGGGAGACGGGGCTCGCAGCAAGCCCAAGGTGGTCACCACCAAGGGTGCAGGTGAGAGCCTTTTCCTGAACCACTGGCATTCACACCTTTCCTAAAGCCAAGGAGCTCTTTTCTCCAGGCTCACCTTCTTTTCTCCCGCTCCCTTCTTGAAGGACAGTGCCGTGCTGCCCCAAATTAATTCCAGCAAAGCACAAACCCCTTCATTCCTCACGTGCAGCCCTCACCAGATGTCACAGTTTTCTGCCCAGTGCTGCAGGAAGCCCAGGCACACCCAGAAATGCAACAGGGGATGAATTCATCGCTTTTAATCTCTCGTGCTGTAACTTCCAGTGCACCAGCAGTACAGAGACTCTGCCTGGTGTGACACTGGAGGGACTGTGTAGCTTTGGCCCACACAGCTACGCTGGGGCCAGGAGAGGCAGAGCTCTGCTCTTGTGGTGGGGACTTGCAAAGATCTGAAGAGCAGCAGGAGACAGTGGTGGCTTGTCCTCCCACTCTTCTCTTCTGGCATCATGTCTGAATATACATCCCCTGCGTTCAGGACTAGCAGAGGGAGAAGCAGTGACAGTATTGACCTTTCCTGGCTCACATTTCGGGGACCTGGGCTCTGCCTGCACATACCCAGGTTCATCCCTCCTTTGACCTTCCTGGCACAGTCCCTGCCAGCCTCAGTACAGACAGTGGTGCCAAGCCAGGATGGCAGGGCCTGAACAGAGGAATGACAAAGGGCAGCAGGGTGCCCCTTGCTCCCCCAAACAGCTGTGCAGCAGGCAGAAAGGGCAGGTACACACATCACCTGCCCTCACAGCATCTGGGGGTTCTGCTCTCATGACTTAAACCCCTGCTCTGGTTTGCAAGCAGGGCTTTGTGCAGTGAAGGAAGACCTGGAGCTGTCCCTCACCCAGCCCATCTCTTGTTGGACTGTGGTTACCTTCTTTCATTCCATTTTGCTCATGCTCTTTCTTTTTTTCCTGCTTTCAAGTGAGGGCTTTCTCCCCTTTTCACTTCTCTGTCTGTAACTTCCCAACCCTGGTAATCTGTTTATTCACTTCTTAGTTCTGGAGCTGTTGTCTTCACCCTGCCCATAGCAGCTGCATAAACTGACATCATCCCTTGTTTCTGGGAGAACACTGCTCTGCCTCTGCAGGCATCCAAGGCCTCTGCCAGCACTGCAGAATTAAGCTGTAAACCTCTGTCCATGCTCCAGGGGCAGCTCAGACACTCAGCCCAGTGGGCAGGACAGAGGGCTTGGGAGCCCTTCCTGGAACACACAGGGCTGGAGCTGCCAGTGCCCTCCCTGTTCTTGCCTTTTCCCTGCCCTGACTCACATCCCCATCTCATTTCATGTCCTTGTTTAGACAAGTGGGTGGGATTTCAGCCTTTCTCTCCCCTCCTGCCTCCCCTGCCCAGTTCAGAGACTGGTTCCCAGGAGAGGGAGGTTGCTTTCCAGGACACAGCTCCTGCAGATGTCACATGTGGTGCCAGCTCTCAGGCTCCTGTGCTCACCCCTTGCAGTGTCACTGTGGTGTGAGAAGCCTTTTCCTTCCCTCACCCTCTTCTCCTTCTCCTCCAGCCGTGCCCATGTTTCTCCTCACTAGTTCTCTGGTTCTCTCCTCTCCTTTCCTTCTTCCCAAGGCTCTCCAACCTTTCCATTTTCCTCTCTCAGAGCCTTTCTCTCTGCCTTGCTCCCTTGTCACTCTCTCTTGTCACCCTCCCTCATCTCTCCCCATTAGGATTTGCAGTGCAGGTGATCAGTCACAGAGAGACGTTTTCTCCAGCACAGCAGCTATTACCCAAAACTCAATTTCCCCCAACCTGAAATAGCTATTTAAAAAAAAAAAATCTTCCAAATGGCTCTGTAACATTCTTACCTTCTTTGCAGTGTTGAGTCAATACACCTTCTGAGAGGAGAGATTTCTTTCTTTATCATTCAGGGCTGGGGGCTGAATTTAAATACAGTAATACATCCAATTTTCTCCTTTACTGTCCAAACCAATTGCAAAATAAAACACTTCCCCCCACTGCGCTTTCTTTTCACCTTCCTTCCAAACAATATTTGTTGTGCAGATGTAATACTTTCAAGCTCAGCTGATTATAGTAACATTTGTGATAAAAACTGAAACATAAAGGTAATGGCGTTGTTTTTCTCTTTAATGTGTTCCTTGGGCATTCCCAAGGGAGGAGGCTGCCTCTCCCAGCTCCTTCCCTAGCCATCCTTTGGCATTTTGGAAGGAATAAAGCATTTGTTTCAGAGACAGACCCTCGTCCTCGTGTTCAGGTGTCAGTGGAGGCATCAGGCAGAAGGGGTTCCCCAGTTTTTCCCTGTCAGGACCCTGCATCCTTCCCTGCTCCCTCTGTCAGCCACACCAGCATTCCAACCCTCACCCCTCAGCTGGACTTAAGCTGGCAGAGCAGGATGGGATCTCTCCCAACTCCATTCTTCCTTCTCCTGCCCGACCAGGAGAAGCACCAGGGCGGAGAGGAGGGAATTAGGTGTCTGACAGTGGAGCTGAGTGTCAGTGGCGCGTGAGCTGCTGGAATTAATGCTCTGCTTTCTCCGCCTTCGGGAACCTCTGGGCCTGCATGTGTCATTTAACTGTGGCTGTGGGCTTGCTTGGCAGCCAGGCAGTGCCAGGGCTCATTAGGCAGAGACATGGCACTGCTGAGCTCCCCCAAATCCCCCCAAATGCGGAGGGGCTCCCTGACAGGTTAAGGAGGAGCTCGCTGGAAACACCCCAGCACTTGGAGGGCTTCTCACTTCCTCCAGAGGAGAAAAACCGCACGGAGGGAGCAGCAGCTCTCCCTGCCCTCTGCCTTGCACAGATTTTGGGCTCTGTTTCCACTCTCTGTGCTTCCTTCTGTACCCAACTGGGCAATGAGCTGCCTGCCAGCCTCGCTGAGCTGGCCCTGTGCCTGCTGCTTGGGACCTGGGGCTGCCCAGGCTTCCTTCCCCATCCTTCATTACTTCACCCTCAGCTCCTCTGGACTTCCCAGCCTGAGCCAATCTGTTCCAGTCTCTTTCTGCATGAGTTGGGCTGTGTAATGGAGAGAGAGAGAGAGAGGACAGGAGTTTGGGGACTCCAGGTTTGTTCTTCCCTGCTCTGGGAAGCAACTGGGACAGGAGGCTGGGAGTCAGGACTCCTGAGTTTGTCCTTCCCAGCAGTGGGAGGGTGCGTGGTCCAGGGGTAACGGGAGGAGCTGTGCACATCTTTCCATCCTGAGCACAGGGAAGAAAATGAATCCAGAAATGTGTCAGTACCTCACAGCTGACATGTTGGCAGTGCTCCTCATTTCCTAAACTGGATAGACACCATCCACCTGCACAGGGTGTGTGAGAGCAGCTTGGGTTACACGGGAATACCCTACGGAACACAGAGCCCAGCTGGAACACTGCCACTGGCTTGAGGACCCTGTTGCTGCAGCTGAAGAGTCTCTTCATCCCCTCTCCCCTTGTCCCACCCTTGGCTGAAGGTGTCTCTCTTTTCTCTCTCCTAGTCCCAGGAAAGCCCATCCTGTCTGTGCACCAGACAGAGGAGAACACTCTCCTGGTGAAGTGGGAGCCTCCGTTGGATGCGGAAGGCCAGGTGTTGGGCTACCGGCTCCAGTTTGGCCGCAAGGACGTCGACCCTCTGGCCACCCTGGAGTTCTCGGCGCTGGAGGATAAGTACACGGCTCCCAGCATCCACAAGGGCGCCACGTACGTGTTCAAGCTGGCCGTGAAAAGCCGGGCTGGCTTTGGGGAGGAAGCTGTGCAGGAACTCACCACCCCCGAAGACATCCCCAAGGGTTACCCCCAGATCCTCGAGGCGAGCAACGTGACTGCCATGTCGGTGCAGTTCGGCTGGCTGCCCCCCGTGCTGGCCGAGCGCAACGGAGCCATCGTCAAATACACCGTGGCCTACAGGGAGGCCGGTTCTCCCGGCAACCTGCTGGAGAAAGACCTGCCCCCCTCCCCAGAGAACTCGTACACCCTCAACGGCCTCAAACCCAACACCGCCTATGATGTTAAAATCCGTGCTCACACCAGTAAAGGCCCCGGGCCCTACAGCCCGACCGTCCAGTATCGGACGTTCCAGCTGGATCAAGGTAGGACTTACCGGTTTCTCCTCCCTCTCTCCCCTTGTGTCCGGGGCTGGTGCCGGGAGGCAAGAGAGCTGGAGAGGTCAGGCCAGGCTCAGCCAGGCTCGTGAGTAAATGCAAAGCACTGTGGTGTCACACTCAGTCCCTCCGCTCCTCTCTGCCTTGGGCCAGGTAAGTCCCTTTTACCACTTTCTTCTAAGTTAAGTCCGGACACCTTCTGTCACTGGCACCTGGAGGGGGGGGCCAGTCGCCACACAGGTGGGAAGAGCCTTTTCTTCAGCTTTTGCAAACAGCCAAAATTAAAGAGAAAAATAAAAAAAAAAACCAAAACCCACGCTCAGACCATGAGCTGGGATGGGTTTCCTCACCTGAGCATGCTCAGCCAGCCAGCACCTCGTTCCTGCAGCAGCCACCCAGGCCCAAAAGTGTGGGGGCAAAGCCACGTGCCCTCCCTGGGGTTAGGCAAGGGAACAGGGAGCACTGGGAGATGGACCTTGGCAAAACTCAAGCACAGTGTGGAGGAGGGAACAATCCCTTCCGTTCCGGCAGCCGCAGCCAGACCCAGCCTGGCAGAGCCCTCTTCCACCACCTGACATTCTCTTCCTTCTCTTTCCTGCTCTTCCTTCCCTCTGCTGCCTTTTCTTCTCCTTTCTCCCCTTCCTCCTCACTTTTTTCTCCGCAGTTTTACCCAAAAACTTCAAGGTGAAGATGGTGACAAAGACATCTGTCCTTTTGAGCTGGGAGTTCCCTGAGAACTACAACTCTCCTACCCCATACAAGGCAAGTGGAATTCAGGAGTCAGATCTGTGTTTCTTCCCAGTTTCCTGGAAATCTTGGGATGAATAAGAAGTTGTAAGAGGCAAGAATTCTGGATTCCTGCCTCAGATATGGGCAGGTAATGGTTGATCGCTACCTCAAGGAAGTGGGCTGAAAATCAGGGCTGTTGGGTTGCATTCCCATCTCTGTTAGCAAATCCTTGCTTCCCCAGACAAGTTACTATTCAGTCAGGAAGAATTTCCTCATGAAAAGGGTTGTTAAACTTTGGAAGAGGCTGCATGGGGAGGTTTGGAGTCCCCATCCCTGGAGGTGTCCAAGGAATGACTGGGCATGGCACTCAGTGCTCTGGGCTGGGTGACAAGGTGGGGATCAGTCACAGCTTGGACTCGATGATCTTGGAGGTCTTTTCCAACCTAAATAATAATTTTTCCATTTTCCATATTGTTTTCTGGGTAAAAATTGCTCTTCCCTGAGGAATCTGAAGGCTTTGACCTGCATCTGCCTCGTGCAGTGGGCACAAGAGATCGAGAGCTCCCCGCTCAAACGCTTCTGTTCTCTGGCACAGCCGAGTGCCCCGTGTTCCCTGCAACCCAAAGGAATGGGGAGGAAGGGGAAGGAGTTTGGCTGTTTGAGCAGTATCAGCCTTGCTCACGGGACAACCTCTTCCCCTGCCACAGATCCAGTACAACGGGCTGCACGTGGACGTGGACGGACGCACCACCAAGAAACTCATCACCCACCTGAGGCCCCGCACCTTCTACAACTTCGTGCTGATGAACCAGGGCAACAGCATGGGGGGGCTGCAGCAGAACGTTGCTGCCTGGACTGCTGCTGACATGTTGTCCAAGAAGCCAGAGGTGACCCACAAGCCGGATGCCGATGGCAACGTGGTGGTGATTCTCCCTGACGTGAAGAGCTCTGTGCCTGTCCAGTAGGTCCCTGTTAAACTGCTGGTTGGGGGGTGCTCAGTTCGTGTTTTGGGGTTCAGCCCTGATGGCTGGAGACCACAGTGCAAACCCATGAGTGTTCCCTCCATTTTCAGCCTTTTCCTGGCTGTTGCCTTTTGGAGGTGCTTCCCAGAGCTGACAGGGAAAGCCAAAGAAATGCAAAAGGAATGCATAAGGAGACATGGGTGGCCACTGATTCCAGCTCCTTCCAGGAATAACAATTCTGCTAAATTAAAAATCAGGGGCTTGCTGGGTTGAGCCAGTGGGGCAGTTTGGGCAAACCTACATCAGTGTGTCTGCTCTCTTCTTCTGTGGCTTGTGGGAGGAGATTAATTCCTTCTGTTCCTTCTATTTCTTCTGATTATTCCCAACTCTTAGGGCTTTCTACATTGTGGTGGTGCCTCTGAGGAAGTCCCGGGGAGGACAGTTCCTCAACCCCTTGGGCAGCCCTGAGGAGATGGACCTGGAGGAGGTGAGTGTGGGCACAACCAGAGCCAGCTGTGGGGAGAGAGCAAACATCTGTAAGGGGTGGGATGGTGAGCTGAGAGCTGGGGCCTTTGGGGTTCCTGTTCCCCACATTCAGAGTAGCCAGGGTGTGGGCAGTCTGGGAGGGATGGATTGGCTCTCCTTGCCGCTCCCTTCTTGGGGTTCAGAGCGTTCCTCTGCTTCCTGCAGCTGGTCCAGGACATTGCCAGGCTCCGGCGCCGCAGCCTCCGTCACTCCCGACAGCTGGACTTCCCCAAGCCCTACATCGCTGCCCGGTTCCGCTCCCTGCCCTCCCACTTCATCCTGGGGGACATGAAACACTACGACAACTTTGAGAACAGAGCCCTGGAGCCGGGGCAGAAATATGTCATCTTCATCCTGGCAGTGCTGCAGGAACCTGAGGCTGTAAGTTGTCCCGCTCTGCTCTGCACTGGTGAGGCCTCACCCTGAATATTGTGGCAGTTTTGGTCACCACAGTATAAGGAAGATATGAAGCTCTTTGAGAGCGTCCAAAGGAGGCAACGAGGATGGGGAAGGGCCTTGATTTGAAGCCGTGTGAGGACACTGAGGGCACTTGGTGTGTTCAGCTGGAGAGGAGGAGACTGAGGGGAGACCTCACTGCAGTTACAAGTTCCTCAAGAGGGGCAGAGGAGGGGCAGAGACTGAGCTCTGCTCTGTGGGGACCCGGGACAGCACCCAGGGAATGGCTGGAGCTGTGTCAGGGCAGGCTCAGGTTGGATCTCAGGGAAAGGTTCTTCCCCCAGAGGCTGGTTGGGCACTGCCCAGGCTCCCCAGGGCAGTGGGCACAGCACCAAGGCTGCCAGAGCTCCAGGAGGGTTTGGATGATCCTCTGGGGCACAGAGTGTGACTCTTGGGGATGGCCCTGTGCTGGGCTGAGGGTTGGAGTTGATAGTCCTTGTGGGTCCCTTCTAACTCAGCATATTCTGGAATTCTGTGAAGTGCTGCCTGCTTTCCCCTGCCCTCTCCAGATCCTTGTGCCCCTCATCCCCATCATGGACCAGAGGCAGCAGCTGCTCCCATGGGAGCTGCCAGCAGCCCTGCTGCCCTCCTGGCATTCCCCAGAACTTTGTCCCAGCAGATCCTTCAGGGTTTTTATTTTGTAAAGACCTTCCACTCCGGCTGTGAAGCTTTTGGATGTGGCTCTTGGAACTGTTGGTGCCTGTGCTTGTGGCTGCATTACACAAACGTGCTCTTCCAAGCAGCCAGGCCACTGGCACAAACAGCTCTGATTTTCCCAGTCTTCCTGGGCAGGACTTGTACACTTGTGGCTACAAATTGGAGTCCAGAATGTGGAGGAACACTGAACTATCCCCTCAGGACTACACTCAAGTTCAGAGAGCCCTAGGTCAGACCCCTTTTCCTTTAAAGGTTGTCCTTTAATTCCTCAGGACAATGACCCCAAACATCCCGCTCTGGGAGAACATCACACCCCTGGTCATTGCTGAATTCCCCCCCACACACGAAGGGGAGATTTTTTTTTTTTATGGAAAACTACATGTGCTCTCTACCACTGCAGCATTGCTGCTGCTTTCACTGGGGCTGTGTTTGGCTTTACGAAAACAACTGTTTTAATATTTACCTGCCTCCTCCCTCCTGCACAATGGGAAACAGCCTAATGCTCTGTTGTTTTTAAATCCCCCTGTGGAATTGTAGCAGGGAGCTATTGGAAATTAAGGGTTTTCAGAGGGTTTTCTCCCCAATAAATATTTGGTTGTGTACTTGATATTAAAGGCTTAGGCTGACACGCTTCTGAATGGGTTTCTCAATCGGATTACTGCAGCTTGTGGTAATTTCTGCTTTAGAGCAAGGTGCTGCAGACTCTCTCACAGCAGCCTGGATCCACAGCAGTTCCCAAGTATGGAGCAGTATTCCAGTCTGCTCAGGGCTGATGGAGTTCAAGGACTCAGAGCCACTGTTCTTGTCTTGTCCCTGGCTCCTCTCCCAAACCAGCCATGCCAGTTCTCCTCTGTGCAGTTGGGTTTCTGGAGTTTCTCTGTAAGGTGGGAATGCATCCTCCCTGGAATGGGGAGACTGTAGTGCTCTTGAGAACAAGCAATGCCCTTTAGTCAGGATTCTGATTCCTCTGATTCTCCTCGAGAGCCCAGCTCACTGCAGAGGGAACAGAACATGCTGCATTTTATTAATTTGTATTTAATTGTCGGGGGTGGTTTTTTTCAGTCACCAGACCGAGCGTTAATTCTTGTTTTAATCCCTTCCCTCTCGCTCTGTAATCCCATCTGACTGTCAAAATCCAGATGGTTACATGAGAGCTTGGAAAAAGTGTTTGTGTTCTGTGGCAATGGCAAGGGCCCAGAGATGTGGTGAAACAGAGGCACAGTCTGGTTCTCTGAAAGCACCTTCCTGGCTGCAGCATGAGGGGAGCCACAGGCCCAAGCCAGGCTAGAGCTTCACATGAGTGTGATCCTTCAGTGTTCTGTGTCACCTGGAGCACTGGAGGATGAAGATACCCTGTCATATGGTTCCTCCCCCTGAGGGACACTGGAACAGGCTCCCCAGGGCAGTGGGCATGGCCCCAAGGCTGCCAGAGCTCAAAGAGCATTTGGACAACGCTCTGAGGGACGGGGGGGATTGTTGGGGTGTCTGTACAGGGCCTGGAGTTGGACTGATGATCCTTGGGGGTCCCTTCCAGCTCAGGATATTCCATGGTATGGATGCTCACAGAGAAGGGCCTTTTCCCTGTTGTTATTTGGTTTGTGCTGCAGAGAGCTCACATCCTCTCTAGCAGTTTCTCCTGTGGGATTCCGTGTGCTCGCCCGCTGTTCTCAGTCCCCATTCCACCTCTGAGCTGTGCTCCACCACCTTCCACTGTCTTCCAGACCTTTGCTGCGAGTCCCTTCTCCGACCCCATCCAGCTGGACAACCCTGACCCGCAGCCCATCATCGATGGAGAGGAGGGGCTCATCTGGGTCATCGGGCCCGTGCTGGCCGTGGTCTTCATCATCTGCATCGTCATCGCCATCCTGCTCTACAAAAAGTAAGAGCTGCTCACTGCCCGGATCCCAGACCCTGCAGAGTGTCCCCAGCCCTGGTCCCTGAAGGGAATGTCCTCCCTGGTCCTGTTGTGGTCAGCTGGGGGAAATCCTTGCACTGGAGAGAGGAGCCCTGAGGCACAGTGGAGTGGAAGGGTGTGCCTGGCACGGGAGGATTTAGCAGTGGGTTGCAGGGACTTGCTGCTTCAGAATCCCCCCCGTGGCACTCTCAGGGTGTTTGTCTCACAGACACGTGTGCAATGAGTGTGTCAGGACTCTTGCCTGCCTCCTCCAGAATTGCTGCTCACAGCCTCAGGCCCCCCTTTCTCTGTGTGTGGGCACAGTGAGGGGGATGCAGAGAAGGCATCTTTGACTTGTGGCTCAGCAGAGACTTCCCCTCCTCTCAAACTGGTTTTCTGCTGGAACTGGGAGACAAGAGCAGGGTGTGAGTCTGCAGGAGAGAGGAGGGAACAACCCCTGGAAGTGTCTCCCTTTTCCTTGGCTTTCTGAGCAGCTCGTGGTGTGTGGATGAGAACTGGGGGTCCCTTGAACACACACAGGCCTCACTGGGCAATAGAAGGGGACAGGAAGGGAAGCAGAAGCTGAGCAAAATAAATGAGTGAATGAAGTCCTTAGCTGGGACATCTCATACCCAGAGTAGAGGGAGCTCTCCTGACCCTGCTCCACCTTTGATCTGCACAGGTGTGTTCACTTATGCACATGGGTGTGTCCTCTGCATCCCAGCAGGTGTGAAGCTGCTCTGGGCTCAGGGAATCAGGAGACACCTCGTTGGTGCCCATTAGCTCTGATCTAACTGGGTGATCTTTGCTGGGCCCACCTTCCACCCGTGCTGCCAGGGTTAGAGCTGAGCAAATGCTTCCCCTTTTCCTCTACAAGTCCTTTCTAACCTGAACATTTGTCTTGTCTTGTCTTCTCTCCACTTGCTGCTTTCCTGGACAGCAAGCCAGACAGGTAAGAGCACCAGATTTGCCATTTATTCAGGTTCTTTCTTGCTGTGTGTTAAGCAGTGTTTGCTGTCTGTGGTGATGGGGCTTTTTTGGTGCAATTCCTACCCTTAGATCTGTTCCTACAGAAAGCCTGTGTCAGGCTAGCATGGGACTGTGTTTGAACTGGGGCTGAAAAAGGAAAGCAAGCCCAGCTTTCTCCTGCTTGTCCATTCCTAAATGTAACAGCCCTTTCTCAGGCTGAGCAGCAGGGACAGTAAACGGCTCATAAAGTGGTGGGTTAATGGAGCAGAGAAACTCTCATTTGTGTGGCAGTCAGAGGTGAAAGTGGGTTTTCTCCGTGTCTGGCTGCTCCATACAGGCTGTCCCTGAGCTACTGGAGCTCGAACTGGAAGCAGGAGCTCACCAGCTGAGCTGTCCTCACCCCACTGCAGAAGCTGTTCTTGCCCCCTCAGCCAAGGGCTTCTAACAGAGTCTGTTTATGACTGCAGAAATGAGACTTATTTCCAGCCATTTCCAGGACTGGGAGAGCTTTCATTGGAAGTGACTGAGGGGTTCAGTCCATGAACTATTTACAGCAGATTCAGAACTGCAGCAAAAATAAACTGCTCCCAAACTGCAAAGTGGTGTCATTCCAAAATGCTGCCCCATGCAGTGCTGGCAGGGCTCATGCCACTTCTTCTGGCTATTAATGACATCAAGAGACAGCTAAAAATGTCCTGAATATCCTCCCCTCTGCCTAAGTGGTTGCCATTACTGCTGCAGGCAGATTACTGGGGGCTTCTGTGCACCCTAAGCAGGAGAGGTGAGAGCTCCACAGCCACCTCCTGAAGGGGCTGGGACCACATTCCCAAGCCTCAGGGTGTGGGTCCATGTTCTCTGCTCGCTGGAGAAGTTCTGCTCCCACAGTTCATACCTGTTCCCTTGCCAGAGGTTATCACATCTTTAGATCAGCACTGGGCTTTTGCTTCCAAATTCTTTTCAAGGAGAATGAGCCAGGTCAGCAAAGACTTTTCAACTGCCTCAGCTAACCTAACCCATTTGGAGTAAAATATATTAGGAAGCACTTCCATGTGGAGCTCAGCTGGCAGGTTGGAGCAGGCTTTGGGTTCTGGCAAGGAGGTGAGGTGGATCTCGGCAGGCACAGCTGTGCTGGGAGAGGATGTGTCTACACTGTTGAACCCAGATTTTTAGGGTTCTGCAGTTCAAAAACGATTGAAAACTGCTGCTCTGACTTCTCTGTCTGCAGCAAGGCAGCTCTGAGAGCTCCTAAAGCAGCCAACAGCAATATCAGTGCTTTGTGTCCAAGGTCACGGCCAGGAGATTCTGTACTTTTCCAAATGATTCTGTTGGCTCTGGTTCTTTCAGGCTGGAAATGGCTTGGCCAGAATTGGAAGGTTTTTGCTTGCAGAGCTCTGCAGCGTTCAGTGGAGGCTGGTCTGGGCAGGGAGGTGCGAGTTCACAGCTGCCTGTCTGTGCTGTGAGAAGAGGGGAACTTCCAAACTTGCCTGAAAGCTGCTGAGGGGCTGCTGGGCCATTGTAAACCCCTCAAACGCAGCACTGACAAACCTTCCAAACCTCATCCCTTTTCTGATGCAATTTATACGCTTTTACCCTTGGCTGCACCTTTGATTTTCGGTGGGAGCTTTGCTCAGGTCTGAACATCAGTAGCCGAGAAAACTCCAGGGGACCAGGAGGCCCAAGAGCTAAGCTGCTTTGTCTTTCTGTTCTTTCTCCGTTCCTTTTTTTTGTTTTGTTCCAAAGCAAACGGAAAGATTCGGAGCCCCGGACGAAATGTCTCCTGAACAACGCTGAAATCGCCCCCCACCACCCCAAGGACCCCGTGGAGATGAGGCGCATCAACTTCCAGACTCCAGGTAACCCGGCTGCTAACCAGCCTTTCCCACTGGGAAGGCAGGAATGGAGCACCTGCCCCTTCCTTCACCCCTCCCTGCCTGGCTGGAGGCTGCAGCAGCACTGCCTGGAGACCCAGGGCTAACCTGGGGTGTGCAGCCAAGGGACCCCGAGCCTCATCTGTGCTAAGTGGGATTGCTGAGAGAAACCTTTGCTGGGAACCTCAAGGACCTTGCCCAGGCTCTTCCCGGTGCTGACAAGGCAGGAAGGGGGGTTTTCCTGGATTCCCAGGTGAATTGGTGCATTCTGGGCTAAGGACACAGCTGCAGGAGCTGCGGCTGTGCCAGACGTGCCAGAGCACCGGTGCTGCCCTGTGCTTCACTCTGGGAGCTCCCAGGGTGGTGAGGTGGAGCATTGCAGGCTGCCCAGCACCCAGAGCTCCAGCCACATCTGGAACTGGTGCTTTCTGGTGCCAGGCCTGCCCGTGGGCTGTGCAGGGGGAAAGGTGGCTGGTTGCTTGGCGCAGACGGGGCAGCATCTCCTTGCTTGGTGCAGATGCTGTCGTGGAATCCCAGAATGGTTTGGGTTGGGGAGGGACCTTAAAGTTCATCCAGTTCCACCCCCTGCCATGGGCAGGGACACCTTCCACTAGACCAGGTTGCTCCAAGTCCTGTCCATCCTGGCCTTGGACAATGGATGGAGCAGCCACAGCAGCTCAGGACAGCCTGTCGCTGGGAGCGGCTGTGGGGCGAGTGGAGGACAGCTCTGAATTCCTGGGCAGGGAGGTTCCCTGCACCCTCCTTCCCACACACACGTGTCCCCGTGTCCAATGCATGTCCCAGCTGCCTGCATGGCACCTCTGCAAAGCCACCACTGACACGGCCCAGGCACAGCCTCACGCAGATGGACACTGGGCGAGCCAACCAATGCCTGCCCACACCTCTGCCTCCGAGTTCCTGGTGCTTGAGGATTTGGAAGGGAGTTTATTGTGCTTTTTGGGGGCTGGCTGTTGTTTTCAGTTCGTTTGTATTTTTATTTTGCTGTTTTGTGCTCGTTAATAATGTTTCTGTAGCTCCTGTTTGCCCTTCCCATCCCAGTCCTGTCCTTAGCGTTGTCCGAGTTTCCTTAGGGTGAGGTTGGCAGAAGGTACCCAGGGGGCAGGGATCTATGGGACAGCACCCAGGCAGCACTGAGCTGAGGGGTTCACATCAAAATGAGTTAGGAACGACCCACTGGGATCAGCCCAAGCTTAAGAATGTTGCTCAGTGGGTTCAGTGCAGCCTGAAGGGACTGAGTGCAAAGCAGTTCAGCACAGGTAGGTCCCTAAATCAGCTCCTAGTGCTGCTCTTGCAGTGGAATCTGAAGGTGTCTGAGTGTCCCCAGCTGCAGCTCAGCAGCAGTTTGCACTTGTCTGGGCACAACATTATCCTGGGTGCACACAGGAGCTCCCTTTGGGAGCATTCCAGGGGCTTCTGGGTGCTCCAGGTGGAGGTGGGGGACCCAAGAGAAAGAGCTGCACTCCCCCAGGTGAAAAACCCATGCTGAGGCAAAAATAAAGATAAAAGTTTGTGGCCTTGCTTGGTCTTGGTGCCAAGAGGCAGCTGGAAGTGCTGGTTCATGTGTTTCCCTGACCGGGAATTGCCCCCTGTCCCACAGCACAGCAGAGTCAGCTCAGGGTGCTTCCATCAGGTAATGGGATTGATGGATGGGTGAGCCACTCTTCTGTTGACCCCACTGGTTTGGTCACGCTGTGCCTCTGAATTCTGGGTCTGAGAGGCTTGTGAAAGGGAGCTGAGACACACAAACCTGCATTAGGGCTCTGCAGATCCCAGAGGCACTGCCTGTGTCCAGTCTGGCTGAGGGAAGATGCTGCCATTTCCTTTCCAAGTTTATCTGGCCATGGAGTTGACCTGGCTGGTTTATTCTGCCCTGTAATTTGTAAAGCAGTCAAATGTTTTAAAGGATTTGGGAGAGTTGATCACCTGCCTCCCACAGAACTTTGCAAACTGTTGGGTGAAAATGGAAATAGGTGGAAAAATCAGCTTGGAGTGTGTTGGTGGTGATGGAGAGACGGTGGTGCAGTTTGCAGGGGAAGACTCCACAGGTGCTGTCTGAATTAAAGGCCATTAAATTCAATATATTGTGGTTCAGAAGGGGCTTGTAGGCTCTTTTGCAACCAGGTGACCCCCGGGTAGAACCTCCATTGTGCCCCCAGCAGTGAAACAGAGGGGGGACATGGGAATGGGAATGTGCAGCTCAGAGAGGGGAAATCATAGCACCTCTTAGATATCCTGTCCTAGCCTAATCAGCACAAGGAATACCTTTCTTTTCCTCTTTAGATTTATGTTGGTTTTTGGTTTTTTTTATTAGCATGAAATTTTTACAAAAGTGTATCTTTTATTTATTTATTTTTTACTGTTTTCTGCAGATTCTGGTCTGAGCAGCCCTCTCAGTGACCCTGAGTTTGACTTGGAAAGTTAGTTCCTGTGTGTTTTTGTTCCTGTTGGTTTCATTTTTCCCCCCCCCCCATTATTATTTTCTCTTCTGTCGCTTTCCTTTCCGATTCTCGTTCCGTTCCTGTTACTATATTTTGATTTTTTTTGCTGAGTTCTCCGTGTCCCTGCCGTGTTTGCCCATCTCACCCCCTTTTCTGTGCCATCTGTTTGTCTGAACTGCGCTTCCAGTTTTACAGTATCCCAGAACAGGCCTCTGGCAGGACAAGGGGAGCAGCAGGAGATCAGAGCCCGTGGCAGCACCACTGTCTGTCCGTGCTCCGGTGTCTCTCTGCTGTCCCAGGAGAAGGACTTGGCTCCCCAGGCTGCCTTTACCCCCTTGTGGAAGATGTTTCATTGCTGCAGCCCTGCTCCATGTCCCTTGTTCTCGTTCCTGGGCACACTGTGACTGTGGGGGGTGTGTGTGCTTTGCTGTTTGTAACGGAGCCACAGCTGATGATCCCTCCCTCTGGAAAGAGCCACACAGGCACCTCTTCATGGCAGACGAGGGAAAAAGGGCCGTTTCCCATCTGTGGCAGGTGTCTGTTCCTTGGCACTGACTTGTTCCAGGAGCACAAAGAGCAGAGGCCACTCCAGGGGCCTCCACCCCCCCTGGTTTCACACAGTGCCATCCAGCCACGGGGACTTTGTGGGATAAATGGGCTCTGGCCCGTGGAACAGATGTTAGGGTGACGTTTCTGGCTGGTGCACAAAGAATCAAGTCTTTTGTGATAAGATTAGAGAGATTCAAGTGATTGAAATGTTAGATGAGACTGGCTCGGAAGGACTTCATCCCATTAGGAGCCAAGATCCCAGCCTTGCTGGGTGGTTTGGGCTGGATTTTTTTTTAGGGCTTTTTTTTTAATAGTGGGCAGGGAAGTAGATGTGAGGTCTCAGCTGAAGAGTCACAGATGCTGCTTGTGCTCAGAGGTGCGAGAGCTGGGATGTTTTCCTGAATAATTCAGTCCAAATATTGGTCTCTTTGGTATGGAATACTCCTGTCACTATTGTCCCAGTTTGCTGCCACCCTCCTCTCAACCCCATTATTGTAACAGGGGGGTTGTGTGTGTTTTCCTGGCTCCCACTGCCACCCTGGCTGAGTTCCCTGCAGTAGCCCAGAGGCCAGTGAGCAGAGGAACCTGTGAGCCATTTCCCTTCATACCTTAAAATGAGTTATTAAATTAAAGCAAAGAGCAGCAGGGCTGGAGCCACTGGAAGTGCTCCTGCCTCATTTAATACCAAACTCCTGGATCTTAGTGGAGCCCCCTGCACTTGGCATTTTGACCAGGGAAGTGTTTATCACTGCAGAGGTTTCTGGTCTCCTTTTATTCTAAAAAGCCCTAGAAATCAACCCCACAAGGAGATTCTGTCCTTAATAGCAGCAAAACAAGGCAAGTTCCCACATGCTCCCAGCCAGTGCCAGTGCACAGGAGGTTGGAGGGGAAGCAGGATGTTCCCCAGCAAAGGGCAGGGTTGATTTTCAGGAGCTGGTCACACTGAAGATTTTTTTTTTCTGGAGCTTTTATGAAGGAAACTTGTGAAATTCCTTCAGGAGGAATGTGACTCCTCGTTCCAGATTGGCACTGTGGGCCTTTCCCATGCAGACCTCTGGCTCAGAGGGAATAACACATGTTGCTCCAGGACTCCTGAGCCAGGGAGAGTCTGAGGTTTTTTCTTGCTCATTATTAGTGGGGCTTCTGAGCATTTATTTTTTCCTTTTAACCTCTGTGTCCATCACTTGGGACTTCATGTTGTGTTTCTCAGCACGTAATCTCTTTTGTGGAGTCAGGAGGTGGCAGCTGGGCTGGGAGCTGCCTGGGGGAAGGAGTCAGTGACTCCCAGGGGTCTGGAAACAGCTGATTGAGGTGCCAGGAGTTGCTCTGGGTAGGGTTTGGCTTTGCTCTAAGGCTCCAGCTCAAGGTGTGTTCATTGCCCTCCTCAGCCCTCACTTCCAGAGGCAGAAGGACCGACCCTGAGGGAAGTGTTGATGGTGTTAAACTGGTTTGATGGTCTCTGATCTGGAGCAGCTCAGCCAGGTTGGCTTCCAGTCCCACACAGATGTAGAGAGGACCAGCTCCTCTCAACTCCCCCAGTCCACATCAGTGCTGTGGTACTGGGATGGACTGGACAGCAGCCTCCCTCCATCCAGGTGGAGAAATCCTTCTCCAGGTGCAGTGGGACAGCACAGCAAGAGATGAACTGAGAGCTTTTCCTCCAGGAGAAACTTCCTGCCCTGACCCCCAGCAGACTAAAATGGAGCCAGTGCAGCCTCCAGAGCACTTTGGGTTATTTTTGTGAGCTTTTTTGGTCTATTTTCAGCCAGATTTCCTTGTGCTGAAAGTAAATGTCCCATTAGCTTAGGAGAAACCTGTCCAGGTATGAGAGACTCGTCCCGTGCCCAGGCCTGGGGGAGGCAGCACCTCTCCCAAACCACTGTAAAACTGAGGATGTCATGCTTGCTTTGCCATCTCTGTGCTGAGTTTTCAGAGTATCTGACCATGCTGCTGCCACCGCCGCTGCTTTGTCACCCACCAACACCCACGGGGCTCGAAATTCTCCCTGGCTTCCATCTCTTCCTCACTCCTGTCCTTCTCATCGGGGGCACTGCCCAGGGCTTCTCAGCATGCTGCTCTCCCAGGCCATCCAGAGCAGGAGTGGCTGGCAGACAGCATGGGAAGCCTTTGGAAGAACATAATCCAATGCAGATGAGCAGAGCACGGAGCGCTTTTCCACCTGGATTTGTAGCTGTTTGAGATGATAGGAAGGGAGGGATCCCTGCTCTTCCCAGAGCTCCAGCTGCCCCTTCCAGAGCAGGATGTGCAAATCACAGGCTGAGAACTGAGTCAGCCGTGGCTGCTCACCCCGTGGGGTGGCTGAGACGTGCCCCAGTCCGACCCAGCAGGACCCCCAGTATGGCTCAGGGAATCCAGTGTGTTCCCTGGCAGCTCTGCATACCTCAATACCAGCCTTGGGGAGGATTGCAGGGGCAGAAGGTGACCCAGGTCAGGAGGCATCAGGCTCTGCAACAAATTGTTCCCGTGCCCCTGCCTGAGAAGGGGCCGGAGGATCTCCTGCCTCTCCATCCCGAAAGGAAACGACGTTCCCAGCAAAGCCTGGGTGGGGTCGGAACAGCCTGACCTGGGGGGAGGGAGGGCTGTGCTGCTGCAGGAACATCATCCACGAGCCATGGGTGGGGAGAGGAGCCAGTGCTTGGCATTCCCGTGCCTGGCTGCACTCTGGGAATGGGGGAGGCCAGACCTCAGCCTGAGAACTTCCAGAGCCGATGTTGTGCCAAGGACAACTCAGGAGTCCTTGAGGTTGGAAAAAGACCTTAAAGATCATCAAGTCCAATTCCTGAAAAGCCTCCCCTGCCTCCCCACATCTGCATATTCCCATGCCCTGCCCCACATCACCATGGTTGGCTGGATCCTGCCCCTTCCCTCCTTTTCTGTTGGAGCTGGTTCCTGGTCCCGGCGGGTGCTGTGCCATTTGCTGCGTAGGTTCCTCTGGCAGCGTTTGCTCATTCCAAGTCCACTATTGGAATCGCTAACACACATCTGCTCTCGGATTTTCCTTTTTGTTTTGCTCTGATTTACACATTGAAAATGGGGCCATCATGGGAACACTCTCATTTTACTGTTGTTTTTTTTTTATTTTCTTGATTTTTCTTTTTTTTTTTTTTTGTACTTCCAAGGACACAATTTCGAGCCCTGAATTCTTCTCTTCTAACCTCCCTACTTTCATTGCAGATCTTACATTGTAATTTATTTTCTTTTCTTGTTTCTTCTTTCTTATAAAATGCGCAACAGTTGTGAATTTTAGTTATTATTAAACGAGATTCTTTTCCTGCTGTCTTGTCTTTTAGGTATGCTCAGCCACCCACCCATCCCCGTTTCCGAGCTGGCTGAACACACAGAGCATCTCAAAGCTAATGATAACCTGAAATTATCCCAAGAGTATGAGGTATGAGCAAGACTGAGTGCTGTGCATGGGTTTGCAGAGCCAGGAATTAGGGAATTCAGGCAGGCCCTCATCCAAATAAACATTGCTTAGTTTATTTGGATCTGGTTAGTTGAAATTTAAAAGTTATTTATGATTAGAAGTTAATTACTTAGTGCTTTGCTGGGTTCAATTCCAGGTCATAAAAAGAAAGAGGTTTGGTCCATGAGCTGCTCCTGCCCAGGGAGCAGGGGCTGAGCTCCCTTGGAAAAGGGGAATGCAGCTCTGGAAGGTGACTGTGGGATGGGATGGGATGGGATGGGATGGGATGGGATGGGGAGCTGTCCTGGGTCTGCCTGTGTTTTGCTGCTGGACACAGAGAGGACCAAGCCAAGGAATGTGACACCCAGTTTCAGGGAGCTGAGGGGAGCAGGGAATCCTTCACAGCTGAGCTAAAGCTGGGGAAACAGGGTGGTTTGTACCCTCCTTGTGCAGAGGCAGAGCTGGGTGCTGTGGGGCCCTCAGGGTGTGGGAGGCTTCCAGTGCAGAGGGAACACAGGATCATAGAATTCCAGGATGGGTTGGATTGGAAGGAACCTTAAATCCATCCAGTCCCACCCCCTGCCACGGGCAGGGACACCTTCCACTAGCCCAGGTTGCTCCAACCTGACCTTGGACACTTCCAGGGCTGGGGCAGCCACAGCTTCTCTGGGCAACCTGTGCCAGGGCCTCCCCACCCTCGCAGAGAGAAATTTCTCCCAAATCTCTTCTAAAGCTACTCTCAGTTTAAAGCCATTTCCCCTTGTTTTACCACTCTGTGCCCTTGTAAAAAATCTCTCTCCACTATTGGTTTTGTTGTTGAAAGACGTAAAATGCCCTGATATTTTTAGCCTAATAACTAGTCTAGACTGCCTAGGTCCGTTTGCAGGGGACATTTTCCAAACAAAGGGATGCTTTCTCCCTGCTCCTGAATTCCAGACATCAGCCCATGGGAAGCAGCGCCGTGCTCTCAGCTCTGCACCCCCGGGGCAAGGGGTTACATGTTGGAGAAGGTTTATTTTGCCCTGCTGGGCTCTCTCCCCCCCACGCTGGGGCGGCACGGGGTGGGCAGCAGCAGCCCGTTAATGTGCTCCATCCAGATTCCAGAGGCTGATTTGCATAATGCCATATCCCGAGTGCCCTGGCTCCGCGCCAGCCCAACCTCCTCCAGTGGGAGAGCCAGAGCTGAACAAACATCGCTAATGAAGTGAAGGCGAGGCATGATTAGAGGGATGGAGAGCAAACAGACACATTACAATAGTATAAATACCCATTAGTTAGGAATTCTCCGCAGCGAGAGCGCGCGGGGGAGGGTTTGGGAGGAGGTTTGTTCGGGTGGTTTTGTACCAGCGCTGCCACGACGGGGCCCGGGGAGCTCCAGGGTGGGCACAGACAGGGAGGGCAGAGGGTGCCAGGCAAGGGTCAACCCCTGCCAGCTCAGAGGGATGGATCTGAGACCCTCTCCTGGCAGGGAGAGGGAGAGCAAACAGCAGGAAACAGCCCGGCACGCTCCTGCCAGGCCTCCAATTGAGGCAAACCCCAAGGGCTCTGCAAAATGATGAAGGAATTAAGCCCTTGTTTTATTTAATTCTCTGGCTGAGGATTTAGAGGTAAACGTAATTAACCTAATTTCCATATCTGGGACAGCTGGACTTTAGAGAGAGGAAAAAAAAAAAACTACCCACCAAACCTGGCATAAATCACTAGGACAGGCAGAGGGGATTTTTCTCTCCAGTGCATTTCATTGTTTATTCCTTCATCCCTTCTAGGAAAACTCCATGTTGATTGAGTGTCTTAGGGCTGGAGTCTTTGTGCTGGGAGATGCACTCCTTGCCCTGTGAGCAGGAAGCTGCCTCCTGCCAGGCTCCTGGGGGGTTTTCTCTACCCTTTGAACTGGGACACCTTTGGTGCTGAGTCCTTGTGGTCCCAAGTGTTGCTGTCCCTGCTCCATACAGAGCAGCCTGGTCTCTTCCTTTTGCCCATGAATGATTTTTGATCATAGAATCACAGACTGGGTTGGGTTGGAAGGGACCTTAAACCCATCTCATCCCATCCCCTGCCATGGGGAGGGACACCTTTCCCTATCCCAGGTTGCTCCAAGCCCCGTCCAACCTGGCCTTGGACACTTCCAGGGATGAGGCAGCCACAGCTGCTCTGGGCAACCTGTGCCAGGGCCTCCCCACCCTCACAGGGAGGAATTTCATCCCAATTTCCAATTTAAATCTACCCTCCTTCAGCTTAAGGCCATTCCCCCTTGTCCTATCTCTATAAGCCCTTGTGAAAAGTCCCTCTCCATCCTCCTTGTAAGCCCCTGTTTCCCCTGATGTTTCATATCCCATTTTTACACATGGTTATAAACCTTGTCCTGGCTTAAATATCTTCTTCCCCAGGTATTGGCACTCACCAAGACACTGGTACATTCCTGCCCTCCTAATCATGGTGTAGTTTAACCATGCACAGATTTGGCCTCTCGATCACTCCCCGAATACCCTGATGTGCTCATTCCTGTTATCTCCCAGTTCCCAGCATTTGTTGGGGTCGGTAAAGTGGGGCTGTGACTGACCCAGTGCAGCCTGGAATTGCACTGATGCTTTTGCCACGGGGTTGCATCAAGCCAGAGGGGGAATTACCTCAGATGTGCCTCTCTGGGTGGCCAAGGGAGATGGGACAGGAGCTATGCCACCGGGGCTGCCCCTCAGCGAGATCTCCAGAGCCACGATGTCCCACGTGGAACGAGGGACTCAGAGCTTGATTTGCTGCTTTGCTCTTCACTGACTCTTCCGTTTTCTTTCCCAATTCCTCCAGTCCATCGATCCTGGCCAGCAGTTCACCTGGGAGCACTCCAACCTCGAAGTGAACAAGCCCAAGAACCGCTACGCGAACGTGATCGCCTACGACCACTCGCGCGTCATCCTGCTGCCCATCGAGGGTAAGGAGCGTCCCATGGAGCATCCCTGCTCCCACGAGGTAGTGCTGGGGTGGAGTTGCTGCCAGGGAAACGCATCTCACACGCTCTTCTCTCGTCTCTATTTATATTCTTCTCTTAACATCTCCCTGGGAGTTTAGCGAGCGGGAGATACCTCTGTAAACCGGGCGTTTGTTAAATCCCGGTGACTGACATATTCCCTGGAGCTGCAATCCCTCATTTCAAGGGCTGGTTTATCAAGGAACTGTCTTCCCTTTGCTTGGAGATGCCTGTTTGATACATCTGTGACTAACAGGAAGAATTCAGACCACATAATGCTTTAGAGAGAGCAGGGATGGGGTGGTGGGTGGCAGGGAACGCGGAGCGTGGCTGTACAGGGATGAATGAGAGGTAGCACAGGGCTAATTGTGCAAATGTGAGCATCAGCAGCAGCACGGGCAGAGAGATCACTTGATATGCAGCTCTTGCTGCAGGCCTGGCCCCTAAAAGGCTCGGGGTAAGAAGGGGTTAGCGTGAGCCTTGTGGGTCATAAATTGTTTCCTGAGCCGCTTCTGTGAGCGATGGTGCAGTCAGAAAATTTACATTAAATTTCACAACTCATGGCTCTTGACAGAGCTGCTCCGGTGCACGCCAGGATAAAAGGGGCTTGAGATGGAGCTGAACAGGGCACCTGCTTGGGCTGCTGCTGCTGAGATAAAGCTGGAGTTTCATGGGCTCGGGCTGTGGCTGCGCCGCGGGGATGAAGCGTTCGAGGCCAGTCTTGCATTGCCAGGAGCTGATCATCGGAGCAGAGAGGATGTGGGATGTCCTGGTAACTGCCTGGTGAATGGAGAGGTTAATTCAGGCACCTTTGTGAGCAGGGAATTGTTGGAATAACCTCCCTCTACCACGGCAACTCCGAGGGACGTGGGGAAGGGGAAGAGCTGGTCCTGAGGCAGCAGCAGTGCAGTGACTTGCCAGAAAACTGCACAAACCTGCATTAGTCTGGCCTGCTATTAGAGGGCTTTAAGTGTTTCTCCTTGTGAAGTTGACTCTGTTCTGGCTTGGTTTAATTCTGAGATTAATATTGTATGAGCCAAGGAAGGCAGAGGCTTTAAAAAGTTGCCTTGTCATTCAAGGGAAAGGAGAAGAACACAAGTGTAGGAGTGAAGGACACTTGGGCTGGTCTTGGATTATGGGGTTGGATGCAGGCAGCAGTCCCAGCTCTGCCCAGGGGCTCTGTGAGGGACCAGTGGTGCACATATGATGGGCCAAGGTTGAATTTTCAAGCATCTGAGAGGTTCTGACGTGCCTTGGCTGGTGTGCTCCTTCCTGCCGGGCTCTATTTTATGCTCAGGGCTGGAAGATGAAAGGAGCCGGAGGAATCAATTGTTGCTTTTTCTTTGTTTCAAATCTGGATTTATCAAGGCTGCAGAACATCACCGGCTGCTTGGTCAGGAAGGAGTAGCAGCTTTAATTGTGTGACTCCTCTGAAGCTGGGCCTGTCACACAGCAGAGTATTGCAGGAGCTCATGGCCACCCATCTTAAATCACAGAGTGGACCCGAGGGGGCTGGAGAGGAGACTAATTCCGGAAGCTCAGCCTTGATCACATTCCTGCCTCCCTTCCCTCCTGAAACTTCAGACTGGGAGGGAATGGGGGCAGGGAACCCTCCAGAAATTTAATCAAAAGCCCTATCTCCCAGCAGCTGAAATGCTGAGTGCCCTTGAGGACTGGCAGGCGGTCCCTGGGTTTGCACCTCGCCAGCAGCACCGATGCCTTTTGCAGCATCCAATTTTGTGTTGGTGCTGCTCCCCACCCTTGGCTCCCCTCGAGACAGGAGGGAAGGGCTCTGCACCCAGTTAATCACAGCTTAGCAGATCCTGCCAGCCTTGCCAGCCACTCGGCTGGCATTAGGAACGGGCCAAACCACCCACCAGCTCCGTGCCAGGCGCAGCTCTCTGGAGCTGAACCTGAGCACCACTGCTTGCCAGGGTCCATTTTAACTTCAGAGCAGCTTTCTCCTGCCATGTCCCAATCACCCTCTTCACTCTGGCAGTGCCTCCTGCTCATCCCAAACCCTCAAGCAAGGACCCAGGCGAGCAGCTGTAACTCAATAGCCTGTAACTCATGCGAGTGGAAAAAAAAAACCCACTCCTAAAAATGACAACGGGCAATTTACAGTGAGTCAAAGCCTGTAATTTCAAATCCTTCACTGTCTGAATCAAGCCTGGTTTTATTCCTTGCTCTGTCCAGCTGTAGCTCTCTGCCTGGTATTGAGTTATGGACCACACAGTCATCGACCAGGTGCATTTGGTGCCTGGGCTCGGGGCGTGCTGGGACAAGGACTTGGGTTTGTCCTGTTGGAGACCATTGCAGCAGGAGCCCTGGGCCAGGACCTTACTCCTGTTGGCCACAGCAGCAGTAGAAAGCCCAGGATTTCAAGGCTTGGTATTCAATCTCTTTAATATCTTTTGCAAGGAGTTACTTGTCTCCCTGCAATGCAGGAGCTCGACCAAGAGTCTGTTTCTCCCAACTCTGATCCTGACCCACCAAGCCAAGAAGGTGCTCCTGTGCAGGGGAATTCTCTCCAACAACATCCCTGCAAAGATTTCATGTTTCCAGCTGTATGAAGTCCCGTGCAGTTCCCTGATTGTCTTGGTTTCACACAGGAATTGTGGGCAGTGATTACATCAATGCCAACTACATCGATGGCTACAGGAAGCAGAACGCCTACATTGCCACCCAGGGGCCTCTGCCAGAGACCTTTGGAGACTTCTGGAGGATGGTGTGGGAGCAGCGTTCAGCTACTATTGTTATGATGACTAAGCTGGAGGAGAAATCACGGGTAAGATGCATGAGAGGGATGACTGGTTAGTCATAATCCTGGGGGATTGGAGGGGAGAGTTGGGGAACAGCAAATCCCTTTGATGTGCAGCCAGTGGGGGATTTCTGCCTGCTTTGCCAGCACCCTGAAAGTTCAGTGATTCACTGCTTTTTAAAAAACAAACCATCCACCCTGGAAAGCTGCAGCCTCCTTTGCAACTCCAGGAGAAGATCCCATTGCCTGCTCCATAGTTCTGTCTCGGAGTTAATCATGTGGCAAGTTTCACATCAGTTCTCTTGTTTAACAAGCCCAAGTACATTCCCTCTAATCTTCAGGATCATTCCAGTCTGTTGTCCATGGGATTGATGTGGCATCAAAGCCTGTGCTTAGCTTAGTGGGAGCTTTTCCTCCTGGGTCTGTCCCTGTCCTGGTGCTCTGCAAAGACATTTCTTGCGCCTCCTCTTCCCTTTGCCACCCGTAACCATCAGGGCAGTTTGGGATTGAGCTTCCCCAGCAGCAAAGGGTTTGCCCCAGCACTGAGCCATCCCTCCTGTCTTCCAGATAAAGTGTGACCAGTACTGGCCAGGCCGAGGCACGGACACCTACGGGATGATCCAGGTGACGCTGCTGGACACCATCGAGCTGGCCACGTTCTGCGTCCGAACGTTCTCCCTTCACAAGGTGAGCTTGTTCCTGCTTTTCCCTGGAGGTGGGCTGTGGCACACTCCTCGCACACCCCACGGGCAGGGGTGGGGGTACAGGTGCCCCCCCTGACCCCTGGTGTTCCTCTGTCCCTGCAGAACGGCTCCAGTGAGAAGCGGGAGGTGCGGCAGTTCCAGTTCACGGCGTGGCCTGACCACGGTGTTCCCGAGTATCCCACCCCCTTCCTGGCTTTCCTGAGACGGGTGAAAACCTGCAACCCCCCCGACGCTGGTCCCATCGTGGTGCACTGCAGGTACCCCTTCCCTTCACCTGCACTTGCACGGGGCCACCCGTGAGGGAGGCAGAAGTTTGGGAGGGTGTGGATTTGCTCCTGGCAAGAGTGTCCTGTGAGGATTCCCAGGCAGCATCTGAGGAGGATTCCTGGGGATTCCATTGAGCACAGCATTTCCTGAGATGGTGAGGGGTGTAGTTGGCAACAAACCACCTGGATCAAGTGTCCAAGGCCGGGTTGGACGGGGCTTGGAGCAACCTGGTCTAGTGTCAAGTGTTCCTGCCCAGGGCAGGGGGTGGAACAGGATGAGCTTTAAGGTCCCTTCCAACCCAAACCATTCTGGGGTTTGATGATCTTGTTAAGCAGTGGGAGGTGCCCAGTGCTGTACTGGTGTCTGCTTCTGCGTGATGGGGTTGTTTGAGGTCACAGTGGGAAAGGAGGAGGATCAGGTGTGACCTCTGAGCAGTGTGAGGTGTTGGGGAGGCAGAGCTGCCTCAGCTGTCCAGGGCAGAGCTGGCAGTGATTGACAGGGGGTTTCTGAGCGCTGCAGCCACTGTGATAATGCCAAGCTGAAGGCAGGTAGAATTCCCTAATTCAATTTACAACCCAATGAAGCCTCAGTGCAGATAAATCCCTGTGTTCCTCAGGAGGATGTGGAGGAGCCTGCGGGTTCCTCGGCACTCAGGGAAGCTCTGAGCTGTGCAGGCTGCTGGGGAAGCTAATCCTGCCTCTGCTAGAGGATGCCACTCAAACAGTCTTTGTGAGTGGGCAACTTATCACTGCCCTTGCAGATAGCAATTGTTGTGCACCTCCAAAAATGAATAAAGAGGAGCTGTCAGTTCACAACCAGCTCCCAGATCAGCCGCTAAATTCTTGCCAAAGCTCCAGTCACCTGCTTGGTTCAGGTGTCAGGCAGTCTAATTAACAGAGATCAAGGAGGCTCCATGAAAAAAGGGGCAGCACTGGAATGGTAAAAGGAAGCCCTTTATTAGCAGTGGCACAGGCACAGAGCACTGAGCCCTGCTGGGGTGCAAATGCTGTTACACACAGGTCTGATGTTACCCCGATGCACAAAAACGTTTAGGAAGAGAGGTGACGTGTGTTACTCGTCACCACATCAGTGCCTTCTCAGCTGCTGAGAGATCTGAGCGATTGAAGAGGCTTTTTCAGCCTTTACATCGTGCCAGCCCTTTGCTCAAGACTCGAGCTGGCACAGCTGTGTGTGCCCAGGGTGTCACAGACGAGGAGACACGGGCAGAGCAGTGTGGAGGGGCAGGAGGCACCTCACCAGAGGCAGCTTGTCCTCGGGTGACAGAAAAGCTGAGTTTGGGAAGTGTTGGCCAAACTGAGCTGCTCAAAGCACGTCACAAACTCCTTGGGGCTGAGCCCGAGTGCTGCTGTGTGGGGCAGAGGGGCTTCTCCATCCTCTGCTCTGTCCCAGCAGCCCCTCCCTGCTGGTGTGGCAGCACTGGCCCAAGCAGAGCTCAGGTAAATGGGGTTTTAGGTTCCAGTGCAGGCTTTCCTGGCCCCAGTGTAGCACTGTGCTCACACACCAGAGTGACACAGAGCAGCACTTTGGTGTCACCACTGTCCTCTCCAAACCCTCCAACACAGTGTTTCTAAACTGGATCAAGAGCAGCAGGCTGAGGTGAGTGGGCAGGGACACTCCCAGCACCAGTTCCAGCCGACAAGTTCCTTTAATTCAAAAATCATCCTGTGGCTGAACCCACACCCATACAATCTCCTGAGCTGGAAGGCTCGTCAAGTCCAACTCCTGGCCCCAAACCCCCACCATTCTTGGCTGGTTTGCCAGGATTTCCTTTGCCTCAGCCCATCACCAGCTGTTTGCCAGGGCTGTGGTTCCTTCCTGATCACCAAGTGTGTTTGCTGGTCACCCTCTGCCTCGTGCATCTGCTTGTGCCCTGCGTTTGTGGCAGCGGGAAGATCCTTGCTCACGGGGGGGTGACCTTCTGAGTGGCAGAATAACCCACCCCTTCCCCCCTCCCCTCTCGTCCCCAGCGCGGGCGTCGGGCGTACCGGCTGCTTCATCGTGATCGATGCCATGCTGGAGAGGATCAAACATGAGAAGACAGTGGACATTTACGGGCACGTCACTCTCATGAGGTCCCAGCGCAACTACATGGTGCAGACGGAGGACCAGTACAGCTTCATCCACGATGCCTTGCTCGAGGCCGTCGCCTGCGGCAACACCGAGGTCCCCGCTCGGAATCTCTACAGCTACATCCAGAAACTGGCCCAGATCGAAGCCAGGGAGCACGTGACGGGCATGGAGCTGGAGTTCAAGGTAAGGGGTGCTGGGTGGGAGCAGCAGTGGCTGGGGAGGGCTCAGGATTCCTCACTGGCGCTCAGGCAGAGCAGACACGGAGCCTTTATGGGGCTGATGGGAACTTTCTGGTTCCATGTTAGAGGTAATTACTTTTCTGAGCTGAGCTGCTGCAGTTCCCGGGGGAGACCTGCCTGTCGCTGCCGGAGGCTCCTCTGGTCATTTCCAATCCAGATTGAATTTGCTCCCTCTTAAATTGTGTTTTTTTAACCGGTTGGGTTTTTTATTATTATTCTAAAAGTTTCGCTTGAGGGAAAGGGCTCAGACTCCGTCCTCACGCCCCCCCCAAAAAAAAACAAACCACAAGAGGTGGTGGAACAGGGAGGGGCAATTCAGAGGGCTGGCAGAGGGGTCAGGAGAAGAGCGAGGCTGAGGGGGTGGTTGTGCTCTCTGTGCCCTCAGCGCCTGGCCAACTCCAAAGCCCACACCTCCCGCTTCATCAGCGCCAACCTCCCCTGCAACAAGTTCAAGAACCGCCTTGTGAACATCATGCCCTACGAGACCACCCGGGTGTGCCTGCAGCCCATCCGGGGCGTGGAGGGCTCCGACTACATCAACGCCAGCTTCATCGACGGCTACAGGTACCTCCTGCCCCGGGGGTGTCCCCTGAGGGGCTGTCTGAGCCCTTGGGATGGGGCTGCGCTGGGGTTTAACACTGGGGCTGTTCTGTGTCATCACAGCAGTGCAGTGCCACAGGTAAATTCCCACACCCCCCCTCCAAATCCAGCCTGCTGATCCAGCTTTTTACCCCCCTGTGGTCTTAAATTACTGATCCCCTGAAGCAACCCAGCCCTTCTCCAGCTGCAGGTCCTAAACACAGAGTGGCAGCGAGGGGTGGGTTTTGCTTCTGGGAGGTTTCTAAGTGTGGATCAGTCTTTTCATTACGTTTGTGATCTGGGGCCGTGGCAATGCTGAGAGCTTCCCCCAGGCAGCACAGCCCTGTGCTCCAGCCCTCCAGGGCTGGGTTTGGAGCCCAAACTGAGGCAACAAAGCAACCCCATGTGCAGGTTCCCTCACGTGCTGGCCCAGGCTGTGGCACCAGGGCTAGGGCAGCTCCGTGCCTGGTGATTGGATTCTTGATGCTCTTCAGGCCCAGAAAACATGGATTCTAGTTCATGGAATCAATCCCAGAATGGTTTGGGTTGGAAGAGACCTTAAAGATCATCCTGTTTTACCCCCTGCCATGGGCAGGGACACCTTCCACTATCCCAGGTTGCTCCAAGCCCTGTCCAACCTGGCCTTGAACACTTCCAGGGATGGGGAGTCCACAACCTCTCCCGTTTCAGGGGAGGAACCCCTCCAGTTCCTAGTTCCAGGAACCTCCTTGCTAGTTCTGGTTCTTCCACAACCTCTCCAGTTCCCAGTTCCAGGAATCCAGAATCAAGCATGTTACACCTTCTTCCTTGTAGGGCACCATGGTGGAGTGAGCTCAATTTACCCCTTGGAAATGATATTTAGGGAAAGCTTCACCACTGGCTCTTTTTTTTTTGACCATCAGCACCAAAGACACCCACAGCCCTTCCGACCTCGCGCTGTTCCAGTTCTTGCCCAGCCTTTCCATGCGTTTCCCAAAGCTCCTGCCCGGGCAGTTCTGCCGTCCCTTGACCCTCTCCTTGCTCTGGGCTCTCCCCCCAGGCAGCAGAAGGCCTACATTGCCACCCAGGGGCCGCTGGCAGAGACCACCGAGGATTTCTGGCGGATGCTGTGGGAAAACAACTCCACCATCGTAGTGATGCTGACGAAGCTTCGCGAGATGGGGCGGGTGAGTGGGGGCCGGGGGGGGGCAGGGTTGGGGACAGTCCTGCAGGACAGGGACTAACAGGGACCTGTCTTGGCCCCGGGCAGGAAAAGTGCCATCAGTACTGGCCCGCGGAGCGCTCGGCACGGTACCAGTACTTCGTCGTGGATCCCATGGCAGAGTACAACATGCCCCAGTACATCCTGCGGGAATTCAAGGTCACGGATGCCAGGGTGAGTGCCTGGAGGGAGCAGTCTGAACCCCTGCAGTGCGGGAGGGGGCTGGCACAGAACACAGGGTTTGGTGGGTTTGACTCCTTAAAGAAAGGCTGAGGTGAAAACGCTTTCCCCTGGGAAAGTCTGGGATTATCAAGGGAGGAGAACTTATGGAATATCCTGGTTGGAAGGGACCCACAAGGATCATGGAATCCAACTCCTGGCCCTGCACAGCACAAGGTGGGGGTCAGCCTCTTTTCCCAGGGAACCAGTGGCAGGATGAAAGGAAAACAGCCTCAAGCTGCACCAGGGGAGGCTCAGGTTGGACATCAGGAGGAATTTCTTCATGGAAAGAGTGGTCAGGCACTGGAAGGGGCTGCCCAGGCAGTGGTGGAGTCTCCATCCCTGGAGGTGTCCAAGGAAGGACTGGAGGTGGCACTGAGTGCTCTGGGCTGGGGGACAAGGTGGGGATTGGTCACAACTTGGACTCGATGACCTTGGAGGTCTTTTCCAACCTCAGTGACCCTGTGACAACCCCCAGAATCCCACTGTGTGCCCGAGAGCTCAGCTGTGATGAGGAACAGAACACACACACACACACACACATACAGATTGTGCTTGACTATTTGTTCTCACAAATTGAAAGTAGTTTCTAAGCTCTCCCACAGTCGTGAGTCACTTTGTTAGAGGCGTGCCTGGCTTTTGGGTTTGCTTGAGATGAAAGCAGAAAATATTTCCCCCAAAAAACTAATAAAAACCTTGCAAAGGATTCTCTGCACCCTACAGAAAATGTGCTCTTGTCTGGCTGTCACTCATGTTCAAAGGAACACATTCACTCCAATAATCTTCGATTCGCTGTCGGATTTCTCATCCAAAGGAACATTTCAATACCTCCTCAAATTTGTTTAGCAAATGTAACCCTCCCTCTCACAAGCAGAGTCGTTGCTTTTGAGGTTGTCAAGAGTATTCCAGAACCAGATAATTCAATTTGCAAGGTTGAGAAGGAGGATGCCTCATCAGTCCTCGTAGAACAAGATTTATCTTCCTGTCAGCTGTAATTCTGACACTGTGGCAACGCTTTGTGAAGATTGATAGAGAGGCCATCACCTCACCTTGAATGTTCCCTCGCTGAAGACTCCATCTGTGCTGTCTGCAGTGGTCAGAGCTTTCAGCACCTGCCAGGATATGGATCTGTGCTGACAGGCTGACTCTGGGAATGTCAACTGCAACATAAGCAGCTTCATCATGGTGGATCTGGATAATAAATACGGGGGCACTTGCCCAGAACACAGACTTGGCTCAACTTCTTGTGCCCTTTAACAAACTAGCAAGGAATTTTTATATTTTTTTTTTTTTTTGCCTTTTCCATTTGTTCTCCCAACTCCAGGATGTTTTAAAACTCTTCCTGTTTTCTCCCCCAGGACGGTCAGTCACGGACTGTTCGGCAGTTCCAGTTCACTGACTGGCCAGAACAAGGTGTGCCAAAATCAGGAGAAGGTTTTATTGACTTCATTGGACAGGTACACAAGACCAAGGAGCAGTTTGGCCAGGATGGCCCCATCTCTGTCCACTGCAGGTAGGCAGGTGCAAATGGGAACACCTCGTTCATCTGGGGATGCAAAAGGAATTAAAATCCAGATATCTCCCCCCCCCTTTCCCACCCCATCCTTGCAGGCAGATTTCTCAGGGGTGTCAGTGCCAAACACTTGCTTCTGCTACCCAGATTCATTTCCCTTCTGCCCTGGGCACTGCCCACAAGGCTTTTGAACCTTTATATATAGAGGAGAGGTATGAAATGCTGATACTCTGGAGGAGATGGGAACTTTAGTGTTATGTATGTAACATATATAATATTTAACCTGCAAAATTAGAAATATTTTTACCACTTTCAGCCCAGTTCTGCACCACTAATAATTACTGACAGCAAGAATTTTGTACCTCCCTACCCATGGGTGGGAGAGGACTATCTGTTCTTCAAAATATTTAATTTTAATGTTACATGTTAGTAATAATATTCCCACTGAACGCTGTTTACCACTACCCAAAGCTTTTAATTTTTTTTTTTTATTATTTCACTTTCTCAAACATTTTTTTGGGTCAAACTCTGGCTATTTCTGGGTATTCATCCTGGAGGACTGACCCTCCACTTCCAACACGTTCCCAAGGCACAGCTGAACTGTCCCCCAAGCTCGGGGTTTACAGGAGCATTTGAACATTGTAACATCCAATTCCCTGGGTTTTTTCCTGCCCTTCCTGCAGCGCTGGCGTGGGCAGGACCGGAGTGTTCATCACCCTGAGCATCGTCCTGGAGCGGATGCGCTACGAGGGGGTTGTAGATATTTTCCAGACTGTAAAGATGCTGCGAACACAACGACCTGCGATGGTGCAAACAGAGGTGAGCAGGGTGGGGACCCTGCCCTGGCCCAGCCCAGGGTGCTTCCTGCCTTTGGAATCATGGAATGGCTTGGCTTGGGTTGGGAGGGACCTCAAAGCCCATCCCGTGTGCAGGGACACCTTCCCCTGGACCACGTTGTTCCAAGCCCCGTCCACTGTTACCAAACAGCTCCTGATTTGATAGGAAATAAGTAAATAAATACAAATTCCCATTGCTGTGAAGCCTCTTAAAGATTTCCTCCCAATCTGGCAGCCTCTGTTCTTATCTCATCCCCACCTCTGGGGTGTGGGGGGACTCACCTGCCCCCAAGCACAGCCCACCCTGGCTGTGGGGAGATGTTTGGTGCCTGAGAGACTCGGACAGAAAGGGAAGGGCTGGGCTGGGCTTTCCTCTCCCAGGAGAATCAGGGAGGTTCCTGCTCAGCTTTGTGCTGTCTGGAAAGCAGGACAGGGATCCCAAGGAGCCGTTTCCCACCTCTGAAACTGGTTCTCTTTGCTCTTGGCAGGATGAATACCAGTTCTGTTACCAGGCAGCTCTGGAGTATCTGGGAAGTTTTGATCACTATGCAACATAAAAAGCCATCGTTGTGCAGACTCTACCAACCACTTCAGTCCTGGAAGGCCTCTTCTGACCCAGGAGGAGCGCTTGAACTTACAAAACTGACTCAGAAGAAGTACCTTTTCATCTGGACAATGCATCGGGGAGCAGGGGGGAGGATTGGAAGGAACACCCCTTCGGGAACTCCATGGTGTAACCTGGCCCGCCCAGAGGCAGCTCGGGAGGTGCTTGAGGGGCTGCCTGAAGTGGTGAACTGCTCTTGTTACCTCAAGTGGTGTTCGCTGTGGAGGACGTGTGGACGTGGTGAAAACAGATCCAAAAGCTAAAAAAAACACGCCTTGGGAAACGTTTCTGCTGGAGAAGGGAAGGAAAAAAAAAAACAACAAAACAAACCGACTTTGGTTACATCATTAGAGTTCAGTTTATTTACTAATATAGTTGGCAGTCTTTAAAGGAAGTCACTTGCAGAATTGAAGGTGTTCTGTGAAAGAAAAGGAACTTAAATCTCAACACTTGGGCAAACTTAGGGTCAGGAGTTCTTCTAGCTGGAGTCTTAATAACCTCAGCATCAGCACTGGGAGGATTCTGGGCTTGCAGGCACCTTGCAAACAGCACCCACGGAATGCCCCTGCCACGCCAGAGGTTTTATAGCTCACATTTTGAATACTTGGAACATTCCTCATTTCTTCTAATTCCAAAATTTTATTTTTTAGGATATTTAAAAGGATAGAGAAAGAGAAGGAGAAGTATCAAACCCCAGAGCTGGCTGTGTGGGGTGGCCCCCTCCCCTGGTGCAGTGGTGGGACCTGGGCTGGGGTCACTGACTGCTGGCTCTGGTCCCCTTTCCAGCACATCTGGCTTTCCTTGGAGCAGGGTGGGACACCCCAGGAAGAAAGGCAGCCCCTTCCCCAGGCTCTTTGCACATTCACACCCCCACCATTCCTGCTGTGAGCAGCTGTGCCCTCCCCCTCAGTCCCTGCTCTGGGAGCATCTCCCTGCCAGGAGCCCCAGAAACACCCTTAAAGGAGTTTATTTCCAGTAAATTTATTTCCAGTATCCAAGTGGTTCTTGCTGCCAGCCCCTCACCTCTGGGAGCCATGTGGAGCTACTCTCAGGACTATCCCAGTACCACGTCACAGCTCCCAGTCCCACCTTGGCACAGCTCCCACCATGCTCCCAGTCCCACACATCCCCTGGCACAGCTCCCAACGTGCCCCAGCTGTAAAAGAACTGGGAAAGATCCAGGAAGGTGCATCCAATGGCAAATACTGTGAGTGGCTTTCTTTAAAGTATCGATGTAACTGTAACAAGTGACATTACCTTTTTTTTTTTTAAATAGTGTATTTTTTCCTTTTTTTTTTTTTTTAAAAAAAGACAAAGAATATCAGTCAATGAATTTAAAAGAAAAAATTTGCTTATTTGTTCATATTATGTTCAAAGACAGTCTATTTTTTCACTGTAGAAATGTTACGTGTAATGGCTGTGATATATAAAAAATGCAGTGCAAATTGCTACTTCTACATATTGCTTTTCTACCATTTAAAAGGTTTAACTTGCTCATGTAAGAACAAAATGTCCTTTCTGGATTTTTTTTTTGTATTTTTATGGGTTCTTTTGTTTCCAGTCACAGACATATCCCAGGGAAGGGTGGGAGAGCAGCAGGTGTGGAGGTGGTGGCAGTGCCAATTCCCTCCCCTTCAGCTGTGGCCACACAGGGCCAGGGGTGAACTGGGAGATTCAACAGCACCAGTGGCTTTATGGGGACTGGTGAGAGTTTCTTTTGGAGCCTTGACACCCATCAGGGGCTTTAACATCCCAGGTGTGTTGCCCAGGTCTCTGTCTGTGTGCTGGGTGTAGCTGAAATGCTCTTCCAGGAGTTTTCCTGCACAGAGGACAGGATTTCTGGGAAAACACACACTGCCTCGAGCTCTGCTTGCCTCTGACTTTTCCCTTTTTTTTTTTTTTATTTTTATAGAAGGGGTAATCATGGCCATCAAGTGCTGCCCAGAAACCCCCACACAACCCATTTCCTGTCTTTAACCCAAAAAAAAAAAAAGAAAAAGAAAAAAAAAAGAACCGACTGAAAGGCTTCTTCGAGATTTTACTTATTTGTGTGAAAGTTGCCCAAATTTCTAAGTATGTTGCAGCAAAATCTTACTGGACAAGTTTGGGGGAGGGGGGGAGGTTTTTTTCTTTGTATGAGAGCAAAGTGCTGTTGCTTTCACACTGTTATTTCAAACTGAAACAGTAAAGTGGTTTTCATACCACGGTGTATGTAGATATATTGACTTTGTATTAAAGGAAGATTGTCTGAAGGTCTGGCTGCAGCCCCGTGTGTTGGGGGGAGCGGGCAGGGAGTGAAGCAGCTGCTCTGTGCAACCCAAGCACTCTGGAATCCTCCCTGCTGCTGCCCAGGGCCAGGTAACAGGTTGCTCTCCCTCTGCTCTGCTTATGCTCCTGCTAAAAATAGGCCCCTGTACGAGCCAAACATGTGGCTGCAAAGAAACAGGCTCATCTGGGAGCTTTGGGCCAAACAGTGCAGAGGCACAGGCACCAGTTTGCTGCTGGTTTGGTGATGGATGTGTGTGGGAGTGCAGCCAGGACCAGAAGGGTTCTGCCTACCTGGAGGTTTTAACCTTTGTTAAAGGTTTTGTCTCTGCTGCCTTCACAGTGTTTCCCTCGTGTGGCACAAAGCTCAGCACCCCTGTCCCTGCTCAGGCTGGAGCCCGGGGGGGACAAGGGTGCAGAGCCACAGTCCAGGTGCCATCCTGGCTCGGGATGGTGGCTCTGAGCTACAGCCAAGGAGTGGGAGAATCCTCAGTGGATAAAGAGCCTCCCTCAGAGCAGGAGCCAGGGAAAGCAAATGGTTCCATGTGAGGGTCATGGCACAGCCGAGGGAGGTTCCCATGCCTGCACTGAGATAGTCCAGGAGGAGAAGGCAGATCCCTGGAAAAGCCCGTCCATCACCTGCAGAGCAACAGGGTGGGGATGCCAAAAGCAGAAGGCTGAGCTCCATCTCAGTGACAGCCTGGCACGGGTTGCCCAGAGAAGCTGTGGCTGCCCCATCCCTGGAAGTGTCCAAGGCCAGGTCGAACAGGGCTTGGAGCAACCTGGGCTAGAGGAAGGTGTCCCTGCCCGTGGCAGGGGGTGGCACTGGATGGTCTTCAAGGTCCCTTCTGACCCAAACCATTCTGGGATTCTATGAGCTGCTGAAAACCTCTCGTCCCACTGAGTCAGACCTGGCTAAGCCAAGCCCCAGAGTTTCCCAGGTCTGTGCCAGCCATGGCTCCTCCTCACAGGTAGGATGAGCCCAGCCTGAGCTTCCCACCTCACCCACCTTATGCCAGAGGGGAGCACAGCAGGAGAGTCTGGCGAGGACACAGCGCTTTGGAGGATGATGGAATTGTTCTGCATCAGGGATTCCTCCCTCCCTCCCTCCCACAGCTGGGCTGGACCAGCACAGCCACCCTCTCCCTGCTACACTGACACCACCAGCAGCAGTTTGAATCAGGCTTAAAGAAAAGAACAAAAGATTAATTAGCGAGTTCGCCCAGAACCTGATGAGCAACGGGGTGAGCTGAGACCCCAGGGAACTGCCTCACGTCCCAAACCTTGTTACCCCATGGGAGAGATGGAGCAGGGAGAGGGAGCCAACCAAACATCAAACAGCAACCACCCTGATGGCTCAGGAAAAAAGGAGAAGGGAATAAACCCCAGAAATCTCCTGGTTTATTACCATGGCTCGTGTACCTGCCTCCCTCCAGGCAGTCATGGGAATAGTAATGAGGTTTGAAAATTCATAATCTGGACTCAGATAATTTGTAGCACGAGTGGCTCCACGGCTCAGCCACACGACACAGGACAGACACCTCTCCCCAGCCTTCCAGGGGGTGATTTTTGATGCTCACTTTCTGTTCTCACTGAAGAACAGAAAGGAAAAACTGATTTTTCTGCTAAGCTCTGTTCCTCCCCCTCCCTCCTTCCCTCCCTACCTGCTCCCCTGCACTCCCAGCAATGCTATTCCTGTCCCTCTGTGACGTTAATTGCTCCCATCATTGCTCTCCAGGCTCTTATTTTGGTTCCATCCTTTTCTGAGCTGGCGTGACCATCCCCCGGGTTGAGATGCAAAACCCTCACGGAACTGAAATAAATTCCACACGGAGCACAGGAAGGTGAGTGACAAAGAGAATTGGAACAACAGCTGGGAACTAAGTAAATCTCTCAGAAAAACCCAACCAACACCACAGGAAGCCAGTTAGGGAAGCAAATATAGAATGAAATCTCGTTGAAGGGGTGAGGGTCACTCAGACTTACAGCAACACTGAGCCCACCTTGGCCCTGCAGCTGGGATGGTCCTGCAGCAGCTCCTCTCAGAAGGTCGAGGAACAGAAGCAGCATTGCTGGGAAGATCCCATTCCCATCTTTGCCTCCTGGTTTCCTTTGCATCTCTCCTTGCAAATGTAAAACCCACGAGCAGAAATTCCAGCAGAGCCTGTGGCACCATTAACAAACCTGGCTCCCTCCTCCTCTCACACCACGAGATGAGGAAGAGCTTGGGGGAGGAAAGAGGCAGAAGGGCCCTCCATCCCCAGATGATGGACACATAGGGATGCTCCAGAGAGAGATTCTGGCACAGAAAAACCCACACCCCCAGTGACAAGGAAGGGACCAGAGATGCTCATGGCCAGTGAACACCTCTGTGGTTCCCTGCAGCTGGTCTGGATGGACCCCAGGGAACCAAAGTGGGAAACACAGGTCGCATCACTCAGGGGCTGACTGAAACCATCAGGACCAAACTGTGCCACTCTTTGCACTTTTACATCCCTAAAGATTCCAGCAGCGAAGCCAAAAGGATGGTAAACCAAGAGCAGAGACCACAAACAAGCTCCCAAGGGCAAAGAGGGGTAAGAGGGAACCTGCTGTGACCTGACCTCAGCTCCACAAACCCTCCTCACTGGAACACTTGCTCCTTTGGCTCAGCTCCGTGTAATTCATCCCACAAAGCTCTTCCCAGCTTTGTTTGATCACACCAGGCAAGAGCAGGTTTGATGCTCTGTCCCTGCTGAAGACCAGGACACCCTCAGCCTTGGAGGCACCACAGACACATGGAAAAAATCCCCATGGAACAGTCTCAGTGCTGCAGCCTCTTACTGGTGAAAGAAGCTGCTGGAATTACATCCCAGTTGTGCTTTATGGATGTGACAGCCCAACGTGCTGGAGCTGTGATTAATGAATGAGAAGAGGGATGATAACAGGGATGATTCCAGGCTCTGGGATGTGCCTGGTTCACCCCAACTGCCCACCCTGGTGCCCAACCCGGCTGCAAGGAGCACATGAAACAGGAGTTGTTGCTCCAAGCTCAGTATTCCAGGGCTCCCTGTGCCAGACAGCACCAGCCTGAAAGCTGGCAAGTGGCTGACTTTCATTTTAATTAACCACTAAGTGATGGCCCATTAATGCCCGTTTTCAGCAGGGTGGGAGGGGAGGCTCTTGTTCCTCATTGATCCCAGGGGTTTTTTTCACTCTCTCTGTCTCTCCCTTCTCTTTCTCTCACACGAGCTCTGACAGCTTTGACAGCGAGTTTATTAGAGATGTGAGCAGGGGTGGAAGGACTAAATCATTGCAGGTAATATTTTTATAGAAAAGGGTTGTCACAAGGCCTCTGGATCTACACGGGCACGATTCCTGCCAGAGGAGAGGGGTTAAGGCAGGGACAGCGGTTTTACATGGGAATCTTGGAGCCTTCTGTTATTAAAGATGAGGAGACTGAGAACTGAGCCAAACCCACCCCTCCAGAACAGCCCACAGTGCTGGTTTTCCTTAGGGAGTGTCCAGGGCTTATCTCAGTGCTTGCTCCAAGGAGCAGCATCCCACAGAAGGGGATTCAGGCAGGAGCATCCCTGGTAGGCTTCAGAGCTGTCCCCAGCCCTGGTCAGTGCTGGTCCCATCTCCAGGGCAGCACTTGTATCACCCTCACAGGCCTCTCCAGCACCTGGGGGATCCCACAGCATCCCTGGCACCATTTCTGTGCAAATGCTGCAGGGATTCCTCTCACAGTTTAATAAATGTCTCCTTAAGCCCTTCCCTCTCTCCTCTCCCTTTAACATAACCTTGGGTACATCCAGAGGTCAATCCTCAATGACTCTGCTCAAGTGCAGCTGCTGAAAGGCCACCAAGCCCCAAGTCCCCCTTGTCAGTGCCACCTGCAGCCCCCAGACCATGTCCTGGCACGGGGTAACCCCACCCTGCCCACTCCAGCCTGGCCACCTCCTCCCCAGCCAGCAGAGACCCTGCACGTCCATCCCTCCACCTGCCACGGGCCATCCCACCAGGGATCATCCAGTGAGGGTCATCCAGACCCCCACAGCCACCCTGGGGCTGCCCCATAAAGCTCAGAGCAGCAGAGAGCCCTTGCCAGGGGCTCAGAAGGAACAGGCTTGTCCCAGTTCCCCTTTTACACCACACTGGGCAAAAGCAGTTTGTGCCTCAGTCCAAATTTGCAGCAGCCTGGATGCCAAATCCCTGAGGGATTGATTTGCAAAAGCCCCCAGGCCTCTGCACAGCCCTAAACCAGGAGCCCCTCAGTCCCCTGCAGCAGAACAAAGGCTTTTAAAATAGCTGGAACCGTAATTTACATTCCAGAGGAAAAGGAAAAGCTTTTCTTGGTTTACAGAATTACCCAAGTGGCAAAGCAGTTCCCGGGCCAGGAGAAATTCCTCACGTTGCAATATGCTTTAATTATACCAAGAGCAGCAGTAAGAGACCGAGAAATCAATTCCTCCTCCTAAATAAGATGGTTGCAAATTCCAAGTCGGTAAGTGAACAGATGTAGAACCGAAATGGAAAAAGTAAATACCCTCAGAGGCACTGAGAAAATTGTCTTACGACTGCTACAAGTTCATCCACCGGGAAAGGGATACAGGGAACCTGCTCCCAGATTTCCTAAGGAGGAAACCACAAGTTCAGTCACTTCCATTGCAGCGTCACCTGAGACGCCACAGCCCCTCCACTGCTCCCACACCTGCACATCTCCCTCCTCTCAGGAGCAAATCCCACCTTGGAGCACAATGGATGCCACAGCCCAAGAGCCAAGAGCTGCCACCCTGCAGACACCTCACCAGGGTCTGAAGGAAAAGCCCACCCTGGCTTCCACTTTCCTGCCATCAGCTGCTCCCCCCCCTCCTGCTCTTGGCACCACCCTCAGCCCATCCAACACCAACTCTGGGCACAGCCGGAGCCATCCCAGATCCACAGGGCAGCTCCTGCTCTTCCATGAGGCCAAATGACCCCCCAGCCCAGAGGGAGCCCTGGGAAA